AACCTTACTACTCATATTTTGGTATATCTTCAATGGGACGTAATATCTAATAGGCTTTCATTTAAACTTAGTCATGTACCAATTTGGTATAAATTGATGGTCTATTATATTTCTCACCAAACAGAAGAACAGAACAAAGAGCCTCTCATTGCTGCAGTTATTCTCTTAGTACAGGTTTGGTGAAATAGGATTTCCCAACTATTTAAAAAAAAAATCGTGTAGGAACATGATAATGGATCTTGAATACTCTTGGTAAAGTAAAAGTATATATACTACTGTATGTGTTCCAAATTTTGGTGTCGTTGGAGAAAGCGGAACAAACGGAGACACGGAGACACTCCGACTTCAGCTCAACATCTAACTGCAATCATTGACAAGATGATTTGAAATAGGATTCCATCCATAAGAGAGTTGGGTGATCAATGCTACAATGATGGTTATTAGTTTGGTTTGCATATCGGGGATTCTAAGGTCCTAAATCATGTTCTTAATCTTTTATCGATTTAAAGTCCTAAATTTCTTTTCTTTTTTTACCTACAAAAACCATTTTATATGTAAGGGAAAGCTTTAAAGTCCTAAGTTTTAAGTTCTTGTTAAAACGTTTTAAGGTTTTTTTAATGTATATTTTAACATTAATTCAAAAAAAAAAAAAAGGATGCAACGTATGTGTGTAAATTCATGAGATTTCAACATTGTTCATTTAAGTATTTATGTCCGTGATTACAGAAATAGGTATTTATTTTGACGCGAAGAGACGGTTTTACCCTTCAAAATCTGGGGAGAAAATTCGATTCACTTTTTTTTTTTTTTTTTGCTGCTCCAAATCAATAAGCCACCACCAGCCTCCGTCGTTGCCAGCCGGGAATTCGAAATCCGCAACTGGAAATTGAGCAGCTATGAACTCGAATTGTCATATTTTCTGGGTTTATATGTTGCTCGAGCTTGTCTCCTCTATATCATCTAATCTATATACGAGAGATGGTTTCTTTGATTCTTAGCTAGTTTTAAACCCAATTCGTTTATGAAAAAGTAAATATATTTTGCTTGTAGCGTTTATAGTTCTTCGATGTTGATGATAGTTGAGTTCTATTATTTTCATGTCTTTGATTTGAATCTCTTTTTGTTGGCTGTACACAGTTCTTTTTCGTCGTATCTTTATCGTTTTCTTCCAATCAATTAGTTTGAGAAAATTTGAAAACGATCCATGTCTAAAATTAAAGCCCTTGGGTTTACTAAACATTATCTCCTTAGGGTTTAAATTCCTTTGTTCAAAACACAATCAATTGAATTTTTTGGGTTCATCGGTGGAGATGGTGTTGGTGGCGGAGATGTTTTGTGAGTCGGAGACGAAGACGATGGTGGTGATGGACTTGATGGAGATGATGTTAATGAAGCGACGAAGACGATGAGAAGCGATGGTTATGGTCGGAAAAGTGAATAGTAATGGAGACGGTGAGAAACGAGCAAAGACGATGGAAAGATGGTGAGAAGCGAGCAAAGATGATGGATTCGGTGAGAACCGAGTACGACAAAGACGGTGAGAAACAGGGGTAAAAGCGTCATTTGCCTCTCTCCAAAAATGCCTAAATACGATACCACGGATAAGAATGCCCAATTTCAAAGTTTTTGAGGAACAAATGCTCATTTAGACAATAACCCCGCCAAAAAAAGTCTCACTACTTTATTAAAATTGACAATTACAAGATAATCTCAGGAGAAAACTAATGAAAAGACCGGTCTCCTAAATCGGTCGGACCAAATAGACAAAGCACCAACCAATCTAATTTATTTTCGATACCTCTTAAAATTCCGCCGATAGGCGATACCTCTAGCACAAAGAGTAAATAATTTTACAGATATGTAGTTTATTTCAGTTTGTTTTCTATATCAGTTGAAATCAAATATAATTTATATTATATACCTAAATCTAAATAAAAAAAATTTCCAACATTGAATTATGCAATAAAATATTGCATTTAACGTAAGATATTAATTGATATATTAACGTAAGATATTAATTGATTTGACGTCATCTTCTATAATAAAACGGCAAAAACCTTAATAGTTACTACAAAACTCTAAGCTTTCGAGTGAAGATTGGTTTCTAAATATTGCATTCATTCAGAAGGATAGCATGAGCAATGCATGAGACAGCTATATTTTGGCCCAAAGTTTTATTTTAGGGCAAAGAGGAAAACGAAAGGGATCGAGGACTAATCCACAAGTATAGGTGAAAATGGCTATTTCAATGATATTTCATATTATAACATTGCTCTCTCGACCGTTGGAAGAATATGGAAGTTATCTCTCGATGATGGAACTCTTTTGTGGTGGTGATATATGCTCCGTTTTTCGAATGAATGTTTTGTTTTGGGATCGAATGAGTTTTTTGGGTTGAACACCTCTAGCACAAAAATTTAATTATTTTACCTTTAAGAGAAAGAAACAAAAGATGATGATTTTACATATAATTTTTATTTCAGTGTGTTTTTCGATATCAGTTTTGAAATCAAATAAATTTTATACCATATACCTAATCAACCTAATTATAAGCAAACTTTTCCAACATTAAATTATAAAATAAAATCTTCCATTTTACTTAAGATATTGAATGATCATAATGATAATATAAACATCAATTGTCTTTAATTTGACCATATTCACAAGTGTCAGATTTTTTTTTGTAAATATTAATTTCTCTTTGATTTGGGACTATCCATACTAGATTAATCAAGCATTTATTTGAATGAATTCAAATGATTTTTGGCTAAAAATAAAATTTTGACTTACATAAATGGAAAATCAATCAATAATAAAAATATTTTGAAGACCAAAAGTTATATAAATAGAGCCTATCTTTAAATAAAATTAATATCATATACCTAATTATAAGTAAAATATTTCAATATTAAATTATGAAATAAAATCTTCCATTTGACTTAAGATATTGATTGATCATAATTGTCTTTAATTTGACCATATTCACAAGTGTCAGACTTTTTAAAAAACAATAAGTTTTCTTTGATTTGAGACTATCCATACTAGATGAATCAAGCAGTTATTCGAATAAATGTAAATGATTTTTTGCTAAAAATAAAAAAAATTGACTTACATAAATGGAAAATCAATTAATAATAAAAAATATTGAAGACCAAAAATTATATAAATAGAGCCTATCTTTAAGATCTGACAAATTGAAAACATTTAACCTCCTCAATAGAGTTCATACAAAAAATTACTATGGGTAGTACAAAAGCTTTGGTGACTTGTTTACTTGTAATAATATTTGCAGTTATGTTGTCTAACCACAACGTTTTGGCTTCAGGTACATTTAAATTTTGTTCTAATTATCTTAAATAAGTAGTGATTATTTCAATAGCTATATTCGAATACGTATAATTTGTAGTGACCATGATTTGTATATTCAGTAGCTACATTCGAACTTACATTCAAAATTTTGCTAAAAAATATTCAAGACATGTTACAGAATTGTACTTTTATTGATGTTACATACTCATGTTTATATCGATTATGTTTAATATTAATGTGGGCTTGTGTATATGCAGAGATTGAAAACGTCTCATATGACAACTGTAGGCATTTGTGTTCGGATACATACGGATGGTTTGAATGTATGAATGACTGTGAGGCAGCTGGATTTATTAATGGCGGAAAGTGTGCTTCTCCTTCTCCTAAAGACCCTCTCAAATGTTGTTGCCAAAAGTAATATAGACACATCCTCTCCCTAAAAATTGGCGATTCTAGCGTTGCATTTATTTTTCCTAAGCCATTGGACTTGATTTGTCTCTTGTGTTTACAAATAAATGTGATGATATAAAAAAAAATATTTATTATAATAAGTGGTATTATTTTATTTTTGAAATCTAGTATATTATAAACGTATTCTTAAATTATATATCAAACATAAATAGCATAAGAAATTAATAATGATGGACCTCCTCTTTGTTTATAACCTTACTATACTAGCCAATAAATCAATATTATTATTATGAGATATTTTGAATATGAAGATGAAGATGGAAAGATTGAATTACTATAATATTATGATTTCAACATTAATTAATTTGTAGAGGTTTTACTGCAGTTGACTTATATATTTACAACTAATAAATGAACATATGTTAATATTTTCATATAAACAATCGAGAGCTAATGCATCGTTTCAATTGGCCACCTTATTTAGATTGTGTTGTTTAACTGGTTGATTGGAACAAAAGTCATGTCTTTTATCTAAGTGTTAATTGAATACTATGTTAATCTTTTGTGCAACCTTACTACTCATATTTTGGTATATCTTCAATGGGACGTAATATCTAATAGGCTTTCATTTAAACTTAGTCATGTACCAATTTGGTATAAATTGATGGTCTATTATATTTCTCACCAAACAGAAGAACAGAACAAAGAGCCTCTCATTGCTGCAGTTATTCTCTTAGTACAGGTTTGGTGCAATAGGATTTCCCAACTATTTAAAAAAAAAATCGTGTAGGAACATGATAATGGATCTTGAATACTCTTGGTAAAGTAAAAGTATATATACTACTGTATGTGTTCCAAATTTTGGTGTCGTTGGAGAAAGCGGAACAAACGGAGACACGGAGACACTCCGACTTCAGCTCAACATCTAACTGCAATCATTGACAAGATGATTTGAAATAGGATTCCATCCATAAGAGAGTTGGGTGATCAATGCTACAATGATGGTTATTAGTTTGGTTTGCATATCGGGGATTCTAAGGTCCTAAATCATGTTCTTAATCTTTTATCGATTTAAAGTCCTAAATTTCTTTTCTTTTTTTACCTACAAAAACCATTTTATATGTAAGGGAAAGCTTTAAAGTCCTAAGTTTTAAGTTCTTGTTAAAACGTTTTAAGGTTTTTTTAATGTATATTTTAACATTAATTCAAAAAAAAAAAAAAGGATGCAACGTATGTGTGTAAATTCATGAGATTTCAACATTGACAAAATATAGATGTTCGTGTGTCCATTCCATTTAATGGAGAAGCTTCGACGACTCGTATAATCTGTCTTGCCGTCTTAGGAAGAGTGAACTAGAGAAGAATACATGCAATTTAGAAGATAAGTGATCGAGTAACTTCACATTGTTGGAATTTGGAAACACCAATCAAATTTAAGCATTAGCAAGTACAAAATCCAAACACTGCCGAGTTTTTTCAAGATACCATTTTAAGTCACAAGATAAAAGACTAAACAAGCAATAACAAGCAGAAACATAGGTATAGAAGACTCGAGTCCCAAGTAAGATGAATTGCAGTCGCATGTCCCGGGTAAAGCTGCTCCGGTCCCCCATAGTAAAAATGCGTCCCAAGCTCAGGGTTGTTGGACTTCTTGGCGCGGTAGTAATCGGGGTGACTTCCTCCTACTGTGAGATTTTGAAGTGGCTGGAAATCATTTTCGGATAGTGCAACTTCTATGTTGCAGATATAAGCGGCTTTTCCAAAACCGCTGTCCGGAAGATAGCCGGATCCCATTTGCGTTGTAGTGTGGTGGCCGTAAGTGTGTTTGTTCGTTATCTCGCCACCCCACTCCACTCTAGCTGCGTAATCAGTTTGAAGGTGAAAAGAAAGGCCGGCCAATATCCGACCGGCTCGAGGACTCCGCCATGTCCAAGCCCGACACCCATCCACCAACTCCGAGTCTTTGATCCTACAATCGTGTTTATGTAATTTTGTTTAATTTACAATTATGTAATAATTAAAACAAAATAAATTAAGTAAATTCGAACCTTCCATATCTTAACAGTCAGCTCAACTTGGGGGCCTCCGACAACAGACGTAGGAGAGATTGCGCCTTCAACCACGATTGTGCGACTGGTTTGTACAAAACCACCGCATCGCAGGTTGTAACATCCCGTCAGGTTGTATGCATCCGACTATATCACATTATCAAATATAATTGAATTTCTTTTTAAAAAAATTATTACCTCAATAATATTTTCAAACTTTTTTTGTCATCTGATTTAATTTGTATTAGAAACCAAAAGGGAATAACACAAGTAAAATACAGTTTAATTCGCCTTATTCTATCAAATCATATTTTCAATTTAGTTCATAATCCTCTAACTGGATCTAGCTTATAAAACATCCGTACATACATCTACAATAATATAATATTACTCTTTTTCAAGTGATACTCTTTTCTACTTCGAGAGGCACAGAATTATTACTAAGTAATCCTGAAACTTCCTAATTATTACTATTAATTTCGTCAGTAATACTTGGGATTAAAACTATCATATTGAAAGTGAAAAAAAAAACACATACCGTCCAATAGATAAAAAATCGCGGCTGGTAGTCATAATATATCTTCGGATAAATCTAAATAGTAAGATAATCAAAATTTATTAGTTATTAATCATTTTGCATATATACATAAGAAATTTAAGACAATACAAGAAATATTTGTAGTTATTACTAGTGGACAAATGTTTATGATTAGAAACCGACCTGCCAGCCCGCCTCAATGCTGTTGATATTACTATCTTCATATGTACCTGAGACCAACCAGAGTTGACCCAAGCTAAACTCGTCATATCTTTCTAGTTTTGGCTGCCACACATTCATTGTCGCCTGAGTTCCATAGATTTTTTGTTCCCTATTATACATACGGCCGATTGCATACTGTATGTCCAAAAACAATCGAACAAAGTTATTTATAACATATGCCATATATGTAAATTGTTTATGATTTATGTAAAATAAATGAATTTTTTTATCTCCTGAAAAGAACATTTAGATGGTTAACTATGATGAATGTGATGTGTGTTAATCCAATCTGGTTTAGTATTAGATTGTAAAGATGACAAAAACAAAATATGACACAGGTGGCCAGACCCAGCCCACTAGTAGAGTTTGTAATTTAAGCCCAGTAAATCAGAACCCATTAAATAGAGCTTGTTAATTAAACCCACCAAAATGAGAACCCACTTATAGAATTTGTAATTTAAACCGAAGAAAAGCGAAGCCACTAATAGAATTTGTTGCATAAGCCCACCAAAATGAGAAGTCCAACCAAAGATAAAACGAATAATCATATGAAAAAATAAAACGAATAATCATATGGAAAACATTTGGCGTGTTAAAAAAATCATTCTTAATATATTCCATATGCATCGACATTCATGGTCAGATTTATGTTTGGTTCACATTAGATGAATTCATGAATACATTCATTGTTAAACTGCCTTAATGGAAAATATTTAGTTAAAACACAAACAAATACGTACCTCATGTCCACCGGTAACTCTATCCCCGGCGTTAGAACTGATGACAGTCTCGTTCTCATGAGGAATCAGCCTTCGAACTGGAATTGATCCCTCCGGACATTTTGTGCCGTTCTGGTGCCAGACTTGCCATCCATATAATGCATCTTCTTCTTTTTTTTCCCGCAGATGGTATGTCCGTTGGTCTTTCCTGTATCATTTATTTACAAAAGAAAAATAAAAACCATTACTAATTCCCCCCCCCCTTAAAATATATATATAACACATGCATAAGTGGTATGTCCGTTGGTGTTTCCTCTATCATAATTGAACCATTGGTAACTATCGGTTCAGTTAAAGGCTTAAAGCATAAGACTTGGAAAGGCTCGTTGCTGGTTTTTCTGTTATCTTGCTTGATTTCTTCAGATTTTTTACTATTATTATGTTTATTTGTGATTTTTGGCTTGTAGTTTTAGATAAAATAAATAAACAAACGAGAAAAATCATATAATAACCTGAATTATATGGTCTTTGAGCAAGGGATGAGTAAAAGCAACTTGTTCTTCTCGCTTAAGGCAGTCAATCGTATCTCCGTCCGGGCTCTAATAAATTTAAGAGAAAACAATAGGTCAAAAACTATATATGTATACATTTGTAAATACAATCAGGAAAGGGAATGAAAAATATGAGAGTCGTCGGTTACATACCTGAATGGACAAGATTGGCACTGGGACTCCTCCTAGTGGAGTGAGGAGTCGACCAAGAGTCAGAAGGAGCAGCAATGTCTGGACTCCCATTTCTTAAAGAGTGGCTTGAGGGATCTGGTAACTGAGCTAATAGCTCTCAAATGTGTGTTTCGGTGTCTTCGTTTCTAATCACTACTACTCCATATATATAGATCGTTAATAGCGTTCAACATGATATTGACATATTGTAGCCAAAAAAATTGTTGGCATTAAGTAATACTATATATATTCAACTTTTGCTTGTGGGGAAAGACGTGTGGTGGATTGCCTTAGTACCACTTTCTTGTTCTTTAACTAATTATGCAAACCCCTGATCAGAAGATTGACAAAATATCATTTAAGAATTATTATTAAAAATTTAACATTTTCTAAAATCATTTAAGATATATACAAAAATGAATAGCAAAACTGTTAATCCAAATAGGGAATTAACATCTAATTGGTTATACGGTTAAAAAAATAAAGAATAACTAAGTTAGTAATGGTTGTCTTGTAAGCCTAAAGATCAGTTTTTGTTTTTCTACTTACCATGGCATAATTTACATATGGATTGCAGATCTAAGGAAATAGTTTGAGTTCTTGTTATACGAATAATAAAGATAAAAGTTAGCAACTATACATATTATAATAGTAATGATAAAGAAAATATATATATATTTAACTTTTAAACTGGAGAATGACATTATTTTTATTATTAAAATTACAAAATGGCACAATAACTGTAGATAAACTTTCACTAATCAAAACATAGGAAACCGCATAATCAATATATTACTCCGCTTACTCAAACAGATTGTTGTCAAGGTCAAGGTCGATATCCTTTATTCAAATTGAGTTATTTTTTTATCTACCAATCATTGTCAAACAAAAAAAACGGTAGCCATGGTAATTCAGTGATTAATTGACATACTGCAAATTAATCACTGCTTGGCAACGTTGTTTAGTTGGTGTAGTAGGGTTTACTAGTGGGGTTTAAGTTTTGTCAATTAGTGAGGTTTTTATAAATCACAAAAATAATGTTTTTCGAAAACTAGACCTTCATTTTCTTGGGTTAACATTATTTTTTATTAACTAAGACATTATTTCATCTAGATTCTTTTGGACGTCCAAAACTGGAAACCTGCGAACTAAACTTCAACCACTTGGGATCTGTGGACAATAAAGTCTGCATTAATGCTTCTCTCTCTAGAGACAAATAAATCCATGTAATTTTTTTTAATTATTATTTTTGGCAACCACAAATTAATAAATCCATGTAATGTTTATTGTTTAGTTTTTATAATGTTTATTTGATTTTATTTTGATAAGTTTTATAGTAATGTTTATTAGAACACTTTTACAAAGTAAACAAGAATCTACTAACGCATCAATAATTGGTCACTAACTTTCTTTACATTGGACATTTATTGGGAACTTTGTTTGATCCAATGATCTTGAGAAAATCAACTAGTTTGTTAAGAAAATAAATTAGAATATAGGGTAATAATTTTTTGATCCGTGTTTAAGGTTTATTTTGTTTGGGCAATAAGATAAATTTATATAGGTGATAGTTTGTTCGTCATCCCTAATTGATAGCTCTTTTTCATTGTAAAATATAATTGACATATTTGTACGTGTTACATGTATTCAACTTATTTTATGCGTTCATAAGAAAAATAATTATGATTAAATTTTAAACTTATTCTTAAAAATTAGTTATTGTACATTTTCCAGCAATTTTTTTTTTAAAAGTACTTAGCTTACATTGTGGCAAACAGCCGTCAAAAAAATATACAGGCGACAACACTTTAAAACAAGGGAAACAATTATGTACTTTTTTCCACAATATTTTATTATAATGTTTTCTCGTCATTTTAAAATTTTTGCTGATTAATAATTTCCAAAATGGTAAAACTCATTAGGCAAAACCGCAAAAGTAAGAAAACAATGATTATTTATTTATATTTATTTTTTGATAATGGATACATATTCTATAATTTATTTTCTTACAATCATTTTCATCCATATGAGGATAATGCTTCAGACATTTATTTTTGTACGCTGAGAAAAATCCACGACCAAAACAGAAATTAGTTAAACTATAACTTTCATTGTCCTATTTTTTTAAGAAATTTCAAGAGTTTTGCTAATTAAAGCGGTTATGGACCATGGTTCCCAACGAAGAGTTAATAATGAGGATATTTAGATGACTAGCTAGATGTAAAGACGAGCTAGCTAGTAGATCATATATATATTTATACTATTGACCAATCGTAATTTGTCACTGTACCACCACTCGTTTGTTATCAGTGTTTTAGAGATGTATGATTTATATTACTAAGCTAGCACATATATATGTATCATTCTTTCAAAAAATGAGAACATACCCACCAAAAAAGAAATTAAAAAGTTGACATATATTGAGATTATCAGATACTCCTTCTGTTTCTAATTAATCCAAAAAAATAATTTAAAAATTGTTTGAAAACAAAGATTTTTTAAGTTTTTTTATATATTTTTATTAGTTAATGATAATGGATTGTAAATTTCAATTTTTTTTTTTGAATATTACTGGTTTAGAATGATAGAAAGTTGTTAACTAATCATAAAAGGTGTATTTATAATCAATTTTTTTATTTTCCATTTTGTGTAAAAAGTTTAAAACTTGGATTAATTAGCAACAACAAAGGAAGTATAATCTATTTTGTTGCGCAAATATACTATTGAAGAATTATCATATATCAGTAAAGAATTATGTTAGATAGTACATCTTTTCTTATAATCGAGCCTTCAAGTAATAGTGCGTTTCTTGTAATAGCCCATTATTGGTCGTACGACTCATACCAATTGGTTGTAATACTTACTAATAATCAAGAGTTTAAAAGATGTAAGAAGTTTTGCTCGCGCGAACCTATTGTGGAAACACGTTTACATGAAGTATACACCACCGGTTGCCCTAAACATAGCAAACTAACTTTTCCAATAAAACTAAGATAAAAATATTCCTTCTCCTATACTTTTGTGTAACAGGTTCAGAAAGTTAAAGCTCTTAGCACGAAAAACAAAAGAGCATCTAATTGAGCTTATGTATGTAAATTAAACATCGTAGACGTAAATTACTAAATTGTTATTAGAGATAATTAAAGAATGAAATCATATGGAGAAAAAGAAGATGCAAAAGCTACTAATTAAAAAAAAAAAAATACAAATTACCAAGTTTTGTTGCTGCAACCTCCATGAGGATCTAGTTGTTTGTTGTGGAACCAACATATCAACTTAATTGGAGTATTACTTATATTAAAAACAAAAAAGAACTTAATTGGAGTATTAATTTTCTAAATAACGTGCTATCTAGTAAATTAAGACGTTATTTAGAATAAAACAAAATGTTGTATATATAAGATACAACATATTCTTTTGCAAATACTGTAAAACAATTCAATAATCACTTACTTAATCAAAAAGATGTTTATGGCAATTTAGCCAGATTTTTATTTTCAAGTTCTAATCTAGCTGTCATCGCGAAACAAACAAAAAAGTAAAAAATAGTGGTTACCATTTTTTTTAAGTAGTTTCAAAAATAAGTACAAATCTTGAGTAATTAAAGAAATAGATACATATGGCTTTTAGCCTTTTACGGATGACTGATAGAAACTGATGCATGAACTCAAATACACAAAGTGGATCAATCTGACTGTGTACAACCTTTACATATTAGGTGGCCAATTTATTTATTTATTTTTTTATTTTTTTTATTGGTGACCAAAATTTATTTTGCACTTTTTTGCGGTGCGTCTGGTCTCTTCTAGTGTGGGTCAGGGAATCAAGAACACCTTGGTTCTAGCTTCCCATTTCGCTAGTTCGTTATCAGCTTGGTCACGACTCACGAATACTATAGAACCTCTCCTTTTCTTTTTGCTACTTTTGTTTCTGATCCTTCCACGTTCCCTTTTTCACTCTTTTGAACTCGACTCGCTAGCACGTTTCTAAAGATTTTGGTTAGCAAGTTAACCCCATATATTTTGCTATGACAGTCTAACAAACTGGTCTATGAGTCATTACTTACCACTTGGTTCCAAGTATATATTTTTTGGTTAATTAATGGTTAAAATTATTGGTTGACAAAAAGTATAAAATAATGGGTAAATTATTGAAATTACTTAAGCAATCTGATGCAACTTTGGATAACATGAGTTCATTCAAAGTGACTTCCCAAATATTGATTCTTTGTTTTTATTCCTTTTGTTCAAGGTCTCAAAGATAGGCTTTTACATTGTAAAGCCAACATTTTCAATATCTAATGATTTTACCATTCATAGCAAAAAATAAAATAAAAAAAGATGGTTAAATTAGTTCCAAAGTATTCTAACAGCAACAAAACCGCTCAAAGAAACGATTTCGAATTTCTATCTCAAACTTGTTTCCCAATCATTTGTTATAATTAATCAGTCCCCTAAACCAAACAATTTCTTTTTTTTGTAAAGTGTAATTGTCTATTGCAATAGATTAGCCATTTTGTTAGAAAATGAAGTTTAAAACATTTATAGTTCTACACGTACATGCTCCGACCAACCTTCTTAATATGTAACTTCCACTCTAAGAAACTTCAAAACCAAGCAAAAACCTCACCAAAAGCAACTCTTCTCCTACCACCAAATTCCGAAAATCTAATTCCTCCTAAAACGAACATGACACTACTCTATACATATATGTTTGTATATATAGTTATACAAACAATGATCACATTGATAGAATAAGAAAGACAAGATATTGATCAACCATGGTTTCAAAACCGCTATTCTCCCTGCTGCTTCTCACGGTGGCATTGGTCGTGGTTCAAACCCGATCCCTAGTCAACGCTGAAGATTCCGAGCCTTCGAGTTCCGCGAGAAAGCCTCGGGTGAAGATCGTCAAGGGGAAAACGTTATGCGACAAAGGATGGGAATGTAAAGGATGGTCCGAGTATTGTTGCAACCATACGATCTCCGATTTTTTTGAGACATATCAATTCGAGAATCTATTCTCTAAGCGTAACAGTCCAGTGGCTCACGCCGTCGGTTTTTGGGATTATCGATCATTCATCACCGCGGCTGCCGAGTATCAGCCTCTTGGGTTCGGTACTGCTGGTGAGAAACTTCAAGGGATGAAGGAAGTCGCTGCGTTTCTTGGCCACGTTGGAAGCAAAACCTCATGTAAGTTTTATTTTATGATCCAAACCGGTTTTATTAATAATAGTTAACCGGGGATTGAAATCACTAATAACCGGTATGATTATTCGGTTTTGAAGGCGGGTACGGGGTTGCAACAGGCGGACCATTAGCTTGGGGATTGTGTTACAACAAGGAGATGAGTCCTGATCAACTCTACTGCGATGATTACTACAAATTGACGTATCCTTGTACTCCTGGTGTCTCGTACCACGGTAGAGGAGCTTTACCGGTTTACTGGTAAGTCGTTTTAATTAAACGATTCCGGTTAGTTCTAATCTAATTTACCGGTTTCAACTTCGATTTTCGTTGATCTGGTTTTAGGAATTACAATTATGGTCAAACCGGGGAGGCTTTGAAAGTGGACCTACTGAGTCACCCAGAGTATCTCGAGAACAATGCTACGTTGGCGTTTCAGGCAGCGATTTGGCGGTGGATGACGCCACCGAAGAAGCATTTGCCATCGGCGCACGATGTTTTCGTTGGAAAATGGAAGCCAACGAAGAATGACACGGCGGCGAAACGTACTCCAGGATTCGGAGCGACCATTAACGTTCTTTACGGTGATCAAATCTGCAACAGCGGATTCGATAACGATGAGATGAACAACATCGTTTCTCATTATTTGTATTATCTAGATCTGATAGGTGTTGGACGAGAGGAAGCTGGTCCTCACGAGAAGCTATCGTGCGCGGATCAAGAACCTTTCTCTTCTTCCTCTGCTCCTACAAGTTCTGGTTCCTCTTCTTGAGTGATGATTTTGTGATATACAATTCGGTGACTTTTGAAAAAGAACGTGAGTTTGGTGTATATGTATTTTGCATGGCCATGCATGGTTTTAATATTTTGTAAAAATATACGTATGATTGCAATATTTTCCACACCATTTTGATTTCTTTTCACATCAAAAGGATAAAAGATAAATCCTATTTCGGTCAGAAGAATTGCAATTTATTTTACGATCTACATATTCAGAAAACTCGGTTATATATATATATATATATAGGACCGATCAAACTCGGCATCGTATTTGTTTTTAATGCATTCAATTAAATTAAAATTAAATCAGTGAAAGTGCTCTTCTCGGATTGTATTGGATGTGGTCATTTAAAAAGATTTTGAAATTGTCGTTTTACGATTGTTTATAGTTTCTGTTTATGATTTGTATCCTCTAGATCTATTACTCGTTTAACTATCGTTTGGTTGCTTTACTTTCGTATAATTTTATTTATCTTGGTTCTATTTTTTCTTGTTTGGATGTAATTCTTCCTCTTTTGATAGAGTTTGGGTTCTAATTTTTATGAAATTATCGGTTTGACCAAAAATAAAAACAAATAAATAATGTGAATTACCATTCAAAGAATTAAAAGGATTCAAGAAATAATAGTAGTTTGCTTTTACCAAAAAAAAAAAAAAAAAAAAAATAGTAGTTTGGTCTATACGTACGTCATTCTTTCTTTATTTTAAGTAGCTTTCCCGGTCAAATCTAGTCAGTGGCGGATCTAGAATCAATTTCTAATGGGGTCAATATGTTATACGAAAAGAAAATGAAGGATTTAAACATATTTTAATGGGGTCAATATAAAGAATTTTAAGCATATTCTCTAGTTTAATCTTAATTTTCAATAGAAAATCAGTTAAAATTAAGAAGTTGTTGGGGTCAAGTGACCCCACTACCAATAACGTAGCTCCGCCACTGAATCTAGTAGAGATCTTAATATTAGTGGTTTTAATAATGTGATGGGATAAGGTTATAGAAAAAATGGTTTCTTGGTGTGTAGTGCCAAAATTGGCAAGAAATTCTATTCATCATTGACGTGTAAAGAACGTGATACTGTAATGCCATTGTTTTTCTTCAATGGCCAAAAATTTCTCTCAAAAATATCTTCAATAATAACGTGATACTGTTGCCATTGTTTTTCCTATAGTGTCCAACAAAATTTATTTCAAAACAAAATGAACTAGTCTTTATTCTTTTTTTTGGGTAGGTTGAATTGTTGAATTAGCAGCATAAATAGAAAATGTAATCTTTCCCATTTAGTCCAGTAAACAGCCAGAGCCTGATCCTTAATTTGCATCGCCGACCTCACAAAATTGTTCGGTTCAAATTAATTTGAGATATTTTCCGGTCCGCTAACAAAAAAAATAAAACCGGAAAAACCAGAAGACGCCACGTGGCAAATACACCACACCCAAAACGGCCACACACACAGTCCATATAAGCTTCCTTCCAACCTTTACGTATTTGTGACTTTGTGATTGGATTCTCCACTCACTCCAGATTTGAATAAACACAACCTAAACAAATCGAGAGACAGAGAGAAAGAGAAGTCAGATATGGCGGCAACACCGGCGACGAAGTGGCGTGATATCGATGATCTTCCTAAGATTCCGGCAAACTACACGGCGTTGACGCCGCTTTGGTTCCTTGATAGGGCTGCGATGGTTCATCCGATGAGAAAATCGGTGATTCACGGATCCCGAGAGTACACGTGGCGACAGACTTATGACCGGTGTCGCCGTCTCGCCTCCGCTCTTGCCGATCGATCAATCGGCCCCGGTTCCACGGTAATCGATTTTACTCTAGCTGAAATGTTTCATTTCCGAAATTTTGTCAAAAGAAATTCGTTCAAAAGAAAAACATTAGAAACTGTTTCCTGTAGATTTTTCCCAATCAATCAATTATAATCGATTTCATATAGAATCTGTTTTAGGGAATCATCATGATTATGGAATAAATCACAGATTAACCGTAATGTTCTAAATCTAATTGCTCTCGCTTGAATTTTGTTCATCGATGCACTGTTGATGTTGATGTTTTTTTTACCTTTTTTAATGAACAATATTTTTGGTTTGGTTGTTTGGTCTTCTTGCAATCTGAGTAATTTCACTAGACCAGAAATGTTATAATTGTTTCAGGTGGCTATCATTGCACCTAACATTCCAGCAATGTACGAAGCTCATTTCGGAGTACCAATGTGTGGAGCTGTTCTGAATTGTGTCAACATCCGTCTCAATGCCCCAACAGTTGCTTTTCTTCTTAGTCACTCGCAGAGCTCTGTTATAATGGTGGATCAAGAGTTATTTACTCTGGCAGAGGAATCTTTGAGACTTATGGAGGAGAAAGCCGGAAGCAGTTTCAAACGCCCACTTTTGATTGTCATAGGTGATCACACCTGTCCTCCTGAGTCACTTAACATTGCTTTGTCGAAAGGAGCAGTCGAATACGAGGATTTTCTGGCAACTGGTGACCCTAATTATCCGTGGCAGCCACCAGCTGATGAGTGGCAGAGCATCGCTCTTGGTTACACCTCGGGAACAACCGCTAGCCCGAAAGGAGTGGTGCTTCATCATCGAGGCGCATACATAATGGCTTTGAGCAATCCTCTCATTTGGGGGATGCAAGAAGGTTCTGTTTACTTGTGGACTCTCCCGATGTTCCATTGCAACGGTTGGTGTTTCCCTTGGTCCCTTGCTGTGCTCTCCGGTACAAGTATCTGTCTCCGTCAGGTAGTACTTGAGAGTTCATTGCACTTAAGAAAAGAAGTTAACATAAATCAGAAGAGCTGATTATATTTTGGTTTCAGGTCTCTGCAAAGGAAGTTTATTCAAAAATAGTCAAATACAAGGTAACCCATTTCTGTGCAGCGCCTGTGGTCCTCAACACTATTGTCAATGCTCCTAAGGAAGACACTATCCTTCCTCTTCCCCATACAGTCCATGTCATGACCGCAGGAGCTGCTCCTCCACCTTCTGTTCTCTTCTCCATGAACCAGAAGGGCTTCCGAGTCGCTCACACCTATGGGCTTTCTGAGACTTATGGTCCTTCCACCATATGCGCTTGGAAACCCGAGTGGGATTCCCTCCCTCCTGAGACGCAGGCCAAACTCAATGCCCGCCAAGGTGTCCGCTATACAGGCATGGAGCAGCTTGACGTCATTGACACTCAGACCGGAAAACCTGTCCCCGCAGATGGAAAAACTGCTGGAGAGATTGTTTTCCGAGGGAATATGGTGATGAAAGGCTATCTAAAGAATCCAGAAGCGAACAAAGAGACGTTTGCTGGCGGGTGGTTCCACTCGGGAGATATTGCAGTGAAACATCCAGACAACTATATCGAGATCAAGGACAGGTCAAAGGACGTTATAATCTCTGGTGGTGAAAATATCAGCAGTGTCGAAGTCGAAAACGTAGTGTACCATCACCCAGCTGTTCTTGAAGCCTCTGTTGTGGCCAGGCCAGACGAGCGGTGGCAAGAATCTCCTTGTGCGTTTGTGACACTTAAGAGCGGTTACGAGAAGCAAGACCAGAATAAGTTGGCTCAAGATATAATGAGATTCTGCCGGGAGAAGCTTCCGGCATATTGGGTCCCAAAGTCGGTGGTGTTTGGGCCGTTACCAAAGACAGCAACTGGAAAAATTCAGAAGCATATTCTGAGGACTAAGGCCAAAGAGATGGGACCAGTACCAAGAAGCAGATTATAGGAAGTGAAAAGCTTAAAGACATCATTATGAAAATAATGTGTTGTATGTTTTGTGGAACTTTGCCTTGTGTAAAACTTTTAAATGATAACAGAAAATTTTCATTTTTTTGGTCAACGCTTTCATTTTGTTCATAAATCGTTTACTCTTGATAAATAACTGCGATGAAGATTTACATACTGATAGCCATAGTATAAACAAACATTTATATATATAAAATAAAAGACCTTAATTGAGTCCACAGAAAGATTTAACACACTCTTGCAACAGCTATTTCTCACATGGAGCACCTCAAAACAATGGTGCTTTCACGTAACAAACATTGGCAAAACACACACATGAGTCACACACATACAAATAAGACAAGGTATAAAAAGTCAACACTTGACCACAATCAGATTATGCTCAAACTAATAATCAGATCGCAGTCCCACCATTATTGATGAGGTCAAATATAAAGATAAGTGTGACAATGAAAGCATAATCGACATTAGGATAAATTGTAGCCACTAGTCTCTCATCTCCTTCATATACCTGTATAAATATATACACATATATGTCATATGTGTAATTAACGAGATGTTTTAAATGCATGGGTTATTAATTTTTTTACCTGAGCGATGATTTTGGTAGAATCTCCAACATAGATAGTACAAGCACGTTTCATAAAGCGACCTTTGATTGTGAAATCACAAGACGATTCTTTGGTCTGGTTATGTTTCAAGAATACTTCAACTCTTGTCTTCAATTGAACAGTCGAAGATCTTTTAACTGTGAAGATCTTATCATCTAAATCACTTCCTCTATACACTTGCCATCGATCGTGCTTACTAGTCACCTTTTACACATTCAAATCCAAGGCATAAACCAAGAAAATTCAACTCAAAAAAATCCGACCGGTTAACAAAACAAAAATCAAGAGGTAATAAGAAGAAACTATAATTAAAAAGACCTTCATTTTCATGGTGACAATGGGAGAGTCATTAGGATCAACCAAAATTCTTTTGTTGTGGAGACCAAAGAGAGGCGTTTTGACTTTGAACACTTTGTTCCCGGTTGCGTCCTTCACTGTATCTCCGGTTATCGTTAGATCTAACGGTTGAGGACGAACAAACTCAGATCCTACGAGTGGTAGTATCGTGTTGCTGCTGCTAGTCCCATCTTGTTTTGCCATTATTGTTTGTTTCAAAGGAGATGATAAAGAAAACAAGACATTTATCAAGTTTCAATTTATTGATCTTTTGGTCATCATGACTTTTTCCTAATTTATTATGAATCTAAAAAAGATTTCTTAACAAAAAAATAATGACTTTACAGATAATATGTAATTTTCATTTCTATTTTTTTTTCAATATTAAGTTTGAAATCAGATAAAATCCATATACCTAATTATAAACAAAATTTTCCAATATTGGATTATGAAATTAAATCTTGCATTTAACTTTAGATATGATTGAACATAATGATAATATATCCAACAAATTGTATTTAACCATATTCACAAGTGTCATACACTTTTTCAAATTTTAAGTTCTCATTTATGATCATTAATTGTAAATATTTACATATTCATAAATGTAAATGATTTTTTTGCCAAAAATAAAAAACTTTGACAAACAAAAATGGATCATCAATTAATTATAATAAAAAAATTTGAAGACCAAAAGTTATATAAATAGCCAATCATTATGATCTTAAACAATAGAAACATTTGAATACCTCAAAAGAGTTCATAGAAAAAAAAATATTATGGGTAGTACGAAAACTTTGGTGACTTGTTTCCTTGTAATAATACTTGCAGTTTCCTTGTTCAACCATAACGTTTTGGCTTCAGGTATATTTAAAGTTTGATTTAGCTATTTTGAAAATAAGTAGTGATCATTTCAAAAGCTATATTTAATTATGTAGAATTCGTAATGATCATGTTTTTTGTTTATATCAATATTAGACATGAATTCAAAAGTTTCGTTAAAATTCTATTATTTGGACATGTTATATAACTATCTTTTAATTGAAATGATATAAAATTTACACATGTTGGTATCAATTATGTTTGATATATATGTGGACTTGTGTAGATGCAAGGGTCGAAGGTTTCTCATTTGACAACTGCAATAATAGGTGTTCGGAAGATTACTGGGATGATGAATGTAACAACGATTGTCTTAGAGCTGGATTTCTAAAAGGTGGACGGTGTGGTTCTCCTTGTATTCCATGTCCAGTGAAATGTTGTTGCCAAAAGTAATACAAACTTATGTACCCTCTTTCTCTCAAAATTGATGGTTCTAGCGTTGCATTTATTTTCTCTAAGTTATTGGACTTGATTTGTATCTTGTTTTTATAAATAAATGCAATGATATAAGAAAAATATTACAAGAAAATAAAAATTCATAGTAATCAAGAGGTGAATAAACTATAATGAAAACCTTTATTTTCATGGTGACAATAGGAGCAACCAAAATTCTTTTGTTATTGTTTGTTTCAAAGGAGATGATAATAAAAGAGGACATTTATCGAGTTTCAATTTATTGATCTTTTTGGTCATTATGACCTTTTCCTAACTTAATTCTGAAACTAAAAACATTTATAAATTCGAACACATTGGTATATTAAACGACATCGTTTAAGAAACATCGTCTTGAGGTTAGACCAAAAGCAATGTTTCACTTGCACTCAGCTCCGTTCTGGTCACGACATGAGAGGCTTTGCTTCTTCAGCATCTAGAGTAGCGACGGCGGCAGCAGCAGCAGCGAAACCGGCCAAATCCCTAAACCCTAAACTCTCAAAAACCCTAAATTCCTCAGGTAAATCCACCAATCCTCTGAACCAGCGTTACATTTCGCAAGTCATAGAGAGAAAAGATTGGTTTTTGATCCTGAATCAAGAATTCACCACTCATCGAATTGGTTTAAACACTCGATTCGTCATAAGCGTTTTGCAGAATCAAGACAACCCATTACACTCCCTGCGATTTTACCTCTGGGTCTCCAACTTCGACCCTGTTTACGCTAAGGATCAGTCTCTGAAGAGCGTTCTAGGGAACGCACTTTTTCGTAAAGGTCCTTTATTGTTGTCTATGGAATTGCTTAAGGAAATTAGAGATTCAGGGTATCGGATTACTGATGAATTGATGTGTGTTTTGATCGGAAGCTGGGGAAGATTAGGTTTAGCTAAGTATTGTAATGATGTTTTTGCTCAGATATCTTTTCTTGGAATGAAACCAAGTACAAGGCTTTATAATGCTGTGATTGATGCGTTGGTGAAGTCTAATTCACTTGATTTGGCTTACTTGAAGTTTCAGCAGATGCGTAGTGATGATTGTAAACCGGATCGGTTTACCTATAATATACTCATCCATGGTGTTTGCAAGAAGGGTGTGGTTGATGAAGCCATTCGATTGGTTAAACAGATGGAACGAGAAGGGAACAGACCTAATGTGTTCACTTATACGATTTTGATTGACGGGTTTTTGATCGCGGGGAGGATTGAGGATGCATTGAAGCAATTGGAGTTGATGCGGGCGAGAAAGTTGAATCCTAATGAAGCTACAATCAGAACTTTGGTTCATGGGATTTTCCGTTGCTTGTCGCCGTGTGAAGCGTTTGAGGTTTTCCTTGGGTTTATGGAGAAAAACTCGATTTTGCAAAGAGTAGCTTATGATACTGTGTTGTATTGTCTTTCGAATAACTTAATGGCTAAAGAGACTGCTCTATTCTTGAGGAAAACGGGTGAGCGAGGTTATATTCCGGATAGCTCAACGTTCAATGCTGCGATGAATTGTCTCTTAAAAGGGCATGATCTTGTTGAGACGTGTGGGATATTTGACGGTTTTGTCAGCCGTGGAGTTAAGCCAGGATTCACTGGTTATCTTGTATTAGTTCAAGCTCTGTTAAATGCTCAGAGGTTCTCTGAAGGTGACCGGTATCTGAAACAAATGGGTGTTGATGGGCTTCTATCAAGTGTATATACTTATAATGCGGTAATTGACTGTCTCTGCAAGGCTCGACGGACAGAGCATGCAGCAATGTTCTTAACAGAGATGCATGATAGAGGTATTTCTCCGAATCTTATAACTTTCAATACTTTTCTAAGCGGTTATAGCGCGGGGGGCGATGTAAAGAAGGTTCACGGCGTGCTAGAGAAGCTTCTTGAAAATGGTTGCAAACCAGACGTGATCACTTTCAGTTTGATCATAAACTGTCTTTGCCGAGCAAAAGAAATCAAAGATGCAGTTGACTGTTTCAGTGAGATGTTGGAATGGGGGATTGAGCCAAACGAGATCACATACAATATCCTGATTCGCTCCTCTTGTTCCACCGGAGATACCGGTAGATCAGTGAAGCTGTTTGCGAAGATGAAGGAAAACGGATTAAGTCCAGACCTTTATGCATACAATGCGATTATTCAGAGCTTTTGCAAGATGAAAAAGGTTAAGAAGGCTGAGGAATTGCTTAAAACAATGTTGAGGATTGGTTTGAAACCAGATAACTTTACGTACAGCACTCTCATCAAAGCTCTAAGTGAATCTGGAAGAGAGAGTGAAGCAAGAGAGATGTTCAGTTCAATGGAAAGACATGGATGTGTTCCAGATTCATATACTAAGCGTCTTGTTGAAGAACTTGACCTTAGACATAGTGGACTCTCGAGGGAAACCGTGTCAGCCTCATAGAAATCTAATCCTCTGGAGTTTGAATACCCGATGAAGGCTTAGGGACTGGAAAAGTGGGTTCTTTTCATTTGGAAATGTCTGAGAAAGCCCGGTCTTGGCCACGGTTAGCCCCTTTGATGCAGACGCAAGAGAAACAGAACATGAGTGCAAATGCGGAACAGAGTATTAAGTTTTGTTCTTTTGATTGATCAAAGCTTTTATATCTTTCTGGGTCCGAGAAAGTGGCGGCAATGGTAATGGCAGTTGGTTGGTACTTGACAGTCAAAAAGGCAAAAGATTTCGTATTCTTAACACTAGGTGGCCTTGTCCCTAAGTTATACCCTTACCGTGTAACAGTTTTGCCAGATTATATTTGAATAATTTTGTTGTTTCTATCTCAAACTAGTATTATACAACATAAATAAAGGCTTATCGAGCATTTATATGCTCTTTGTTTAAGCTGCTGTTATATACTCGAACTCTGAAGATGACCCTAATTGGTCTTTTTTTACAGGTGGGATACAATGTAAAAGATAAGAAACGAACTAAGAATAGGACCAATCTTGTTCAGGAAGTTGAGAAAAGAAAACAAAGCAAAAGTAGTAGTAATCAAATAATGCAAGAAACAAATATTTGGGTATTGTAAATGGACTAATTGCTTTTGCCTTTTGCCAGTTGCTTGATTTGCACTGAACTTGGAACATAAGAGCACCCAACAAGAAAACTTTGAGATTCTCCGAGATCCACTTTTCTCAAGTATCCATTCTCTCCAATGATGTAAGCTGTGTTACGGTGTCTTATCTCTTTGTCCTTATCAAAAACCACAGCGACTTTCTTCTCCTCGTCAACGAAGAAATTTCCATAGCAAACAGTGAGTGGTTTCATGTCCACTGCTAATAACAACTTTCTCCACGACACATCATTGGGCTCAATCTTACTACTAATCCATATCTCCATATGTAATGTATCATATCGCTGACATAACACTGCAAGTTGCTCTTCTCTAACACTAGAGAGAGCCACAATATCTTGACGATGAGAGTGGAACGGCAGAGGCAGAGCCGGTCTAAATCCCTCTGTTGTAAAATCAAAACAAAGCAAGAATTCACCCCTACCTCGTGCTCGAGTATACGTATAAGAATTTCCTTTCACAGAGACTTCCATTTTATAAAATGCTGTCGCCCAATCGGAATTGAGATCAAGAACCCTCCATGAATTAGAATCTAACTCATAGATTTCGTAGTCAACACGTTTATCATCAATATAATAGTTAGCAGAACTCACAATTTTGTAGCTGCGGCAGGATATTTTCGTCTCGTATCCAATAGCATATATATATGCGTGACGACTTCTAGCTTCGATCCACCGAGTTTGCCCCCAATACGGATTCCAAAGCACATCCCTAGTGTTAGTGAAGCCATTTGTGATGCATACCAAACCACCGCAATGAAAGACTTGAGACACATCGGTTAGGTTAATAAGTTTACCATTACACTTTATAACGTCTTCTTCCTTGTGGAGATTGATGCTTACTAAACAAACCATAGAATTCATCAACATAACCACCATAAATTCTTTAGCAGCTTTTGCTAGAAGGAGTTGTTTCTTTCTAAAGCTTTCTTCCTCGGCTAAAGTGTTCCACTTTTTGCAAGTCAATCGTATTGCTCTCATAGAATCCGCTGGAGCTCTAGAGAGTATCTCCTCTAACAAATCCCTTGGAAGATTGGACATCATCGTCATTATTTCGACAAAGATCAATGTAATGTGTTAATCAGGGTTGTTATACAGAATAGTCAAATAAGTTAGGTTACATGCGATGATGTGTTTGGTAATTTCTTCTTATATACTAGCTTAACTAAAAACTACTGCCTTATCATGCTCATGGGCCTGGACTATCGCATTAAGCCCAATGGATATATTTATCTAACAGAGTTTTGCCATTATTTTATGTTGTCATTCATAAGTTTTTTTTAATTCATTTGTTGCCTTAAGAAATAAAAAGATAAGGATTGTAAATAAAACTGAATATTATAAATCAAAATAAATCCACATAACTGCTATGAAAACGGAGTTAAACTTTTATCATCTCCAATAAATTTTGACAGTAGAAAAAATTGAAACCAAAAACTGAAAAAAGTATACACGTGAAAACACATTATTGTCAGGGCAGTGACCAATAATAAGCCAAAGCCGCAAATCTTGAAAACGGCGGGGTTTTTTAATTTTTAAAAAGAGATTTCAAAATTAAATTAAACCTTCCCTCGTATATTTCCAGATTTTAGTAAGTTTTTGGCGGGTGGTCGAAAAGTAATAAAAGCTCCCGCTCGAGGGTATTTTAGTAAATTCAAAAACCCGAAATACTAGGGTTTCCGCCCCCGCCTTCCTCCTCAATTATAAAATCCCTCTCCGTTTGTTTTATTCCGTTGCTACTAATCGCCGTCTCTCTCTCTCTCTCTTCCTTATCATCAACAAACTTGCTCTGCTCCGATCGCCTTTTTTTCTCTCTCGTAAAGATGTCTGAGGGATCAGAAGATATGAAAACAAAAGTCGACTCTGCTGGAGAGTTATCAGATGTTGATAACGAGAACTGCAGTAGCAGCGGAAGTGGCGGTGGTAGTTCTGGTGATACCAAGAGAACTTGCGTTGATTGCGGAACTATTCGAACTCCTCTTTGGCGTGGTGGTCCTGCAGGACCAAAGGTGAGATTTTGAATCAATACTTTAATTTCAATCCTCTTCTGGATCAGTGGGTCGTTGTTAGTTTCCGATTTTGTAGATCTAATCACCAGATCGCGAAATTAGCATCTGAGTATGATCCAATGTTAAGTTTTGATACTCTAGTAATCTAGGTGATGAATTAAGTTAGTGTTCTCGGAACTGAATCATGAAAAATGGTAATCTAAGTTAGTGATCAAATTTAGTATGTGATTGGAAGGATCTGAGTCTACTTGCTTGATCCATTGATGGGAATCTGAAGTTCTTTATTGGTTCTTATCGATTTGGTTTGTTTTTGTTATGTAGTCATTGTGCAATGCTTGTGGGATCAAGAGTAGGAAGAAGAGACAAGCAGCACTTGGTATGAGATCAGAGGAGAAGAAGAAAAACAGAAAAAGCAGTAGCGGTAATGATCTAAACCTCGATCATCGAAACACCAAGAACAACAAGATCAACAAAGATGATGATGCCAAGAACGACAAGATCAACAAAGATGATAATCCCAAAACGTGCAATAGCAAGAGTAGTAGTAGTAGCAGCAACAAAGGAGTGAGTAAATTTTTGGATTTAGGGTTTAAAGTTCCGGTGATGAAGAGATCAGCGGTTGAGAAGAAGAGGTTATGGAGGAAACTCGGTGAGGAAGAAAGAGCTGCTGTGCTTCTCATGGCGCTCTCTTGTAGCTCTGTTTACGCCTAAGTGTTTTCTCTGTTTTTTTTTTTGGTCATTAGGGAATAATTAAGTGAGAGCGATTTTGATTAACTTAATTAGATAGAGAGATATGTATGATATGAATGTGTAAGTTCCTAGTTTTTGGTTTCACTAATGTTATGTGTTCATTTTCTTAATGAATTCAAATATTTACACTTTTTTTTGGTTCTTAGTCATTCAATGCAATAATAATGAGAGTTGGTCGTAATGTTTTGGTGCCTCAATGGTCTTTCTCTGTATGGGCCCGTATGGCCCAGGATATTGGGCTTTATCGGGGGAATCGTAAGGCGCGTGATTCTAGCTGTCTTGTCTCCATCAACTCCAACTTTTGTTTTGTTTTTTGGTCCACTGATGTCGTTTTTCATTTGATTTGAATTTTTTATATATGGTTTTTTGAATTCAAACTGGTTTAAAATTCAAATTTTGTATGGTAAAGTTTTTTTATAATATTATGCTGAGGTGGTATACTAATTTTCGATGTTTTTTTTCATTTTACTGAATGATGGTAAATTTTCGATTTTCACTTGGCAGAGTAATTTGTTTGTGTGAATAAAATTTGTTATGGTAACTTTGAAATAGTGAAATTGTAAATTGTAACTTTCAAAAGCAATAACTTTTGTTTTTCATTTAATTGTATGATGCAACCTTAATAAGCCATCATTAATAATTAATAATTATAAATGATGAACCAACAAAATTATAAATAATGTTAAATATAGCAAAGTCATGAATCATACTATAATAAAAAATATATATATAAAGTGGTGATGAAACATAATTAATTTATAAGGACACCGTGGTGGACAAATGGTAACATGGCTTGGTAGAGCCGTGAACCTCGAGAATGATTCAAATATAAAGGGCCAAGTGACTTCGTTTAACGGGACTTTCTTTGACCAAAGCTTCCCATTTATGTTCTCACGCTTGTATTATGCAGTTTCTTCAATTTAGGACCATTACTTCTATAGATTCCTTTATTTTCCGAAGCAAAAAAGTAAGAATTAGCAGGTACAATTTTGGAATAACTTGTATATTTTCCATAAACACATTTCTTATATAGAGAACGTTTTCCTTTTTCTTCACAAAATCAAATAAAATCTTCATAATATATTTGACCTATCATATCACTCTCACAATGCATCCAAAAATTCCATAAACACTCTCAAAAATCACTAAGATTTTTATAGACAGATATCAGTAAATATTTGAATCTAAATCATTTAAGCAAACATTCTATAAACTGTGTTTGATATCAATGTTTTTAGCTAACGCTTAGGTGTAATTACACATTTACATAATTACTACGATAAAAATTGGGGTTGCATTTTTTAGTAATAGAAATATATGGTTCATCTTGTAATTTTGAAAAAGTAAATCCAGTCTCTTTTACAATTTGTTAAAAGAACAAAACCTTGTCTTTGGCTTTTGTTCGTAACCTTTGTTTACTTGAACAAGAAAAAACATTAAAATCTGACCAAACAAGCAAATATACGCAATTTCAACGCGGACATAAATTTTCATTACAGCGTCTTACTAAGCTGTTCTGTTCTTTAACGCGGTCTCTTCCTCTCTTCAAATAAAAGCGTCGATTTTTCACCTTTTCATTTCCAGAGTTTGTTTTGAAAAACGAGATTTTTGTGAGTGAAGAGATTTGGAGTAATCATGGGTTTAACTCCAAATTTCATTTCATGGATTCTTTTGCTATCTCTCTTCACGGCGATTCAACTAACGTCGTCTCAACCCAACGCTCCACCACCACGCTCTCCAGACTCTGATCTCTGCAACGGCGTGTTCGTTTCCTACACTTACTCAACCGGTACCAAGATTAAACCGAACGACACAAAGAACCAGCCGTACCGGTTCGAATCAGAGATCACGGTGCTCAACAACGGCCGCGACGAGCTTAAATCGTGGCGTGTCTTCGTTGAATTCGCTCACCGCGAGATTCTTGTTTCAGCCACCAACGCGGTTCTCTCCGATGGTTCTAGCCTCCCGGTTAGCGTCGAGAACGGGACAATCTTCGCCGGGTTTCCATCGGCGGATTTGAAGTCGGCGATTATGACGGCGGGTGACGTCAGCCAGATGCAAGCACGTGTTAAGCTCGTGGGTACTCAGTTTGGAGTTGCGCCGCCGAATGTTCCGCTTCCGAAGAACATCACTCTTGTTAATGATGGATGGTCTTGTCCTAAACCCACTCAACAAGGTACTAACTTATCTAAATTCTATTACTTGAAGTCTTGAAATTACTATGTACTTTGTTTTCATTTTCTTGTTTAATTGTTCATGATTTTTTATTTGAATGTTGTGTGATCTTAGGTTGCTTATCTCATTACGAAAGCATTACCAAGAGTTTTAAAAATCGAGAAATGATCACATTGACTAAGTCTATTTGTGATCAATGGAGTGGTTGAAAAAGTCTATTGCTTTTGTAGATTTCTTGTATACTAAAATTTTGAACTAGTCTTATAAGCAATTGAGATTAGACCTTAAGTTACTTAGGAAACTATTTCATGCTTGGCTTTTCTGTTTAATGAGTGGGAATATCTGATTAAACATTTGGAATTAAGCAGTTCAGTTTGCATATTTGTTATTCTTTAACTTATTGATCATAAGACTTGTTTTGTGTTGTGGTTTTAATGAAATGCACTAGAGATTGCTGCAAGCATAAATGTTTCTTTGTGGTTAACTGACATTTCTGTTCTTCTCTTATGGGTTTTTTTCAGGTAGGAATGTTCTGCAAGTATGTTGCACGCTGAATTCGAACATAACAACAGGCAACATTGGTGAAAAGTTCCTTCCCAGGCAAGAAGGAGATCTAACCATAATGTACGATGTGACCAAAGCCTATCAGTCGAATTACTTGGCGCAAGTCACTATCGAGAATCATAACCTGCTTGGTCGGCTTGACAATTGGAATCTAAGTTTTTTGTGGATGAAAGATGAGTTTATCTTCACAACCAAAGGAGCTTATCCGAGTGTTGTCGATTCATCGGATTGCATCAATGGTCCTCAAGCAAAATACTATAAAGATCTTGACTTCTCTCATGTCTTGAGCTGTGCAAGAAGGCCACACATCATAGACCTCCCTCTGACTAAGTATAACGATACCGATTTCGGGCGTATCCCGTATTGCTGCAGAAACGGAACGATTCTGCCACGGTCCATGGATCCAGAGAAGTCAAAATCAGTCTTTCAAATACAAGTTTACAAAATGCCTCCAGATCTCAACATGTCTGCTATAACACCTCCCCAGAGCTGGCAGATTAAAGGGAACCTTAACCCGGATTACAAATGTGGTCCTCCTGTTCGAGTCAGCTCGAGCCAGTTCCCTGATCCAAGCGGTTTACCTTCCAACCGGAGTGCATTTGCTAGCTGGCAAGTCGTCTGCAACATCACCCAACCAACTACTCCTAAATGCTGTGTCTCATTCTCTTCTTACTTCAATGACTCGATAATCCCCTGTAATACCTGCGCTTGTGGAGGTTGCACTAGCGACAGAGTGGCGCGTACTTGCAGCACAACTTCTCCAGCTCTTCTTCTTCCATCTCAGGCTCTTCTTATTCCGTTTGAGAACCGAACCAAACTTACCACAGCTTGGGCAGAGTTAAAACACCGGAAAGTCCCGGACCCATTGCCTTGTGGAGATAACTGTGGAGTCAGCATAAACTGGCATCTAGCCACGGACTATCGAGGCGGATGGACTGCTCGGGTCACACTCTTCAACTGGGGTGAAACTGACTTCGTGGATTGGTTTACCGCGGTTGAACTGAGAAATGCTGCACCCGGTTTTGAGAAAGCGTACTCGTTTAACGGAACTACCATCGCTATCAACGGAAAGAACACCACTGTTTTAATGGAAGGGCTCCCTGGACTGAACTATCTCCTTGCAGAGAGAGACGGAAAAAACCCGAATAAGGACTTTCGGTTACCCGGGAAACAGCAGTCGGTTATCTCCTTCACCAAGAAACTAACTCCTGGACTTAAAGTTGGTTCCAGAGATGGGTTCCCGACCAAAGTATTATTCAACGGCCAAGAATGTTCACTCCCTTCTGTACTACCAACGAACAACGGTCACAAGAAACATGTATCCACTTTTCTTCTCATGGCGACACCATTTTTGGCTCTACTGTTTCTGCGGATTTAAGAGTTCCAGTGAAAGGAGCTTCCCCATTAGCCAGAAAATATACACAGTTTTCTTGATTCTTTCTAACCAGATTTGTTACAGAACAAGTAGTCGTGCTTTGTGCAGCGTGTGATTCTTGATTTTCTTACGATCAGATTTTAGTAATCAGTATCAGTATGTATACATACATTAAACAAATAAAGTCCTTGTGTTTTGATATTTTTAGTCCGGTTCAAGTCTCTCTTGATCTTGAATTCCTGCTTGGATCCTTGAAATAAATACTTACAAAACACTAAGAGACGTCTTATTATCGCAAGTTAGAAAATCAAAACCCCTAAACAGCCTCACTACATAGATGAGGAACAAAAGAATCTCCAAGGAAATTAACCCCTAAGCATGAATAATAATTTCGTATATAATCTGCCATTTAAAATTTCATGCAGACTATACATATATCAAACAAATTTAAGTAGATCGTCGTGTAAAATGATACAATACAAATCCCGATAGTCCCTCCGGTTTATCGGTTTTTTATCTAATCAAACCGGAATGTTATCGATCGAGTATGCGTCAAAGTCGAATTCTCCATCAACTGGTGCAATCCCTTCCTGTATATCATCAAGTGAAGATTGTATTTCAAGTTCCATTAAGTCAACCTTTCAATTGCAACCGATATAATGTTCTACAGTTTTAGGCTTTTAGCTATAGTTTTCTTGGATGTTACATGTTACTCTTTTGGTTCACTGATTTTTCTTGTTATTTAGTTGTGTAGTTTGCGTAATTATGAAAAGACATGTGACCAATGGTGAGAAAGCGTCTGAGAACTGTTATATATTTGGTTTTGAAACGCAAACTCTAAAAGTGATGTACGTTGACGGATCAGATTATGCTTCTATATAAGAGAGACAAAAAAAAAATCAAATCAAACCTGCTTAAGAAGTGCGCTCATAAGATCTTCTTGATTACTATACTGCTCGTGAAACGCCATTGCTGCTGTATCTGCAGCCACTCTCTCTGATTTAACCCTCACTGAACCACTGTTTCCATCTGCATAACCCTGATGGTGCGGCACCATTCCTGGAGGTGGCTGCTGGTGGTTCCGGCCATGATGCTCTGTGGCTGCAACTGTCGTGTTGTTTCTTGACATTGATGAAGAAGAGTAAGCTTCTGAAGCAGAAAACGCAGCGGATTCTGCATCCTGATGTGAGTCAAAGGCTATTCCAATATTCCGCAGATCCCAATCGTTCTGCCTGGTGGTGAACATGTCGTAGCTCGGGGTGGTGAAACCTGCTTCGGAGCTGTTAACCTCTTCCTGGTAACAAGTGGCTTTCCTAACCGGAACTGATAAGCCTGGTGCACTTGCTAGCGGGAAACTGTTCACGGGGAGTTCTGGTTGGAAGTTGTTATATGCCATCGCGCTTGATGAGTGTTGTGTTGTGAGGTTGGTGTAACCTGTCGGTAACACTCGGCTGCTCTCGGGGATATTGTTCCTTCCAGAGAAACCGCTCCTCTCAGGAATGCGGTTTGATAACATCGGCTGCCTGATGGATGATTGCGACGAGGTTAGCATTGGCGGTGGTCCCCGAGGCAAAGACTGTTGACCCGCTAGAGGCATCAGCATTCCGTTGTTTTGAACACTATGTCCGGCTCGAACAGCAGCAATCTGTTGTTGAATACTCATTCGATTACCCATAGGAAGCTGCTGTTGTAAACCTGTCGGGACACCGTGAAGTAAGTTCATCTGCGGTTGCTGTTGGGGTTGTTGCCCGTGATGACCAAGCCCCTCCCCGAATCTTGTTTTCGTGTTGTCAAAGCTGAAGATGCTTCTCTCGTCCACAATGGAGGAAACCGGCAAACCTGACTTAGAGACCATCGCAGGCCGGCCCAAACCAGCTTGAAGCTGTGCAAGGCTCTGAGCAGGTAGCTGACCTGTGACAGCTAGCGCTTGAAGATCAAACCCATTCAATGTCGAAAGAGGTCCGAAGCTCGCATCTTGACCCGTCATAAACGAGTTATTTAGATTGCCTTGGTGCTGAGATACTCCCCCAAGCCGTCTTAGATATATCCGGTATTTCTGCAAGTCCACACAAGTCCAATGAGAAAATCTAAGCAATGCAATGGCCTCACTCCAGTATCAGGTATAAGATTTATACCTGGAGGTGACTGGCTACGTTTTCTCGAGTTAGCCCAGGAACGTTCATCAGCTCCAAGATCTTCTTAGGAACAGCCTCTGCGCCATAGAAGATCATTTAGACCCTGAGCCTAATAATTAATCACTATGAAAATGTAAGAAGTTTTAGTCTTACTTTCAACGCCGAGCTGATTAACAGCAGCAACAAACTGCTGATGCAATTCAACAGACCAGACAACACGCGGTTTCTTCAAATTCGACGCATCTTCGTCCTTATCATCCCCTTGCTCTTCTCCTTCCTCGTCTTTCCGCTTCCGTGAGCTGCTCCTCCAGTTGTTCCCTTCGTTAACCGAGGAAGAGTTATCATCCACCGCATCCTCGCCACCAGAAACAGCTGCACCACCACCACCTCCTCTATGTTGCTGCTGCTGTCTCTCGCCAGTCTCCTCAATGCTCCCAGAATGTTCCGGTACACTCCACTCACTCCTTCTCTTCCGAACCACATGCTGCCATATGTTCTTAAGTGCCTCCATACGTACAGGCTTGATGAGGTAATCAACCGCACCATGCGTTACTCCCTTTAGAACCACACTCTTCGAATCATCCGCAGACATCACTAGTTAAACAATTTTGAATACAAGATCAATAATTGATACCAAAATCTATAAAAAAAGATTCAAACTTTGAGATTTTGAGGGAGTCAAAGAACCTACTGATAACAGGTAAGTCCATCTCTAGACCAACATGCTCAAGGAGCTTGAAGCCGTCCATGTCAGGCATATGAACATCACTGATTACTATATCAAATCCATGTTTGTTCTTCCGGAGCAGAGACAATGCCATCTCAGCTCTGTTGCATTTCGTTACTGCATGACAGAACAACCAAAAGTTTCATATCTATAAAGAGTAAAGAAAACAGAGACTTTCATAACCAATAATAAACTCAGAGATCAAAGAGAGACAAAAACTGTTGAGAGTCCAAACAAGAAGGATCTCTTGAATTGACATTTAACCAAACTCAAGTCAAAGATCAAAGACTCAGATTTGAATCCATTTTAAATTAAACCCCCTAAGTTATTATATACAACGGATCTCATACATATGAATCTTTCACCAGATCAAATGGTGTGATCTAAATGAAGAAACTTGAGATTAATATGTGAATCTTAAAAAGAAACAAAAATTGCTTAAGTTGTTGCTATTTAAGGGGGAGCAAAGTTAGTCAACCACCGATATGAAAACCATAATTATTCCTCAAAATAACATAATTTTGAGAGAATGGACCACAAATAAACCCATCATTGGAGGAAGAGACCATGAACTCTCTCTCTCTCTCTCTCTCTCTCTCTCTCTCTCGTGAGATTAAAAAAAAAACACACACACAAAAGAAAAAAACAAGAAAGAAAGAGAAGATCTTGGTTATTGATTCGAACCTTCGTAAAGACAAGTCCTAAGCATCCTCTCTAAGATCATGAGACAAGTTGGGTCATCGTCAACGACAAGAACTCGAAGACCAGAAGGAAACATCTCGACGACGGTCTCACCACCGCCTTGATTTCTACCGGAGCTAGACCCACCAGCCGATCCGAGTCCTCTTCCGTGACTCGGATTCATCATATCTCTCTTGCTCGAACCCAAGAACCAAAAAAAAAAAAAAAAAAAGCAAGAGAATATATACCCAGAAAAAAAGAGGCGAAATTGACGCGATTTTTATTCGATTTAAAATTGAATTTGAGAGAATAAGAAGAAATTGGAGATAGAGAAGTGAATTTCTGGTTAACCAAAAAAAAAGTGAAGAGAAGAGAGAGATGGTGAGATGAGACTTAGGGAGTTGAAGAAGACATGGCTTGTCTCACCTTAGAGCTCTTTTTCTCTGTTTTTTTATTCACAGAGTAAAGCTCTAAATTATTCATTTGTAACACAGATGAAGAAAATATAAATGTGGTTTTTATATAGTCATATATTTACATATATGGCTTTGTATTTTTGGAGCTGACAATTAACATGCCCTTTATTTTTCCTTTTTCTCTACTTTTAGACCATTGGTTTTTAATATTTCACTTTGGATCCAATTTCTTTTATATTCTCAATTTTTACAATTTAGTTCTGTATATTATATGTACGATGTAGGTATTATTGCTCTATATTATGTTATTTGACCCTAGAGAAACATGTTTTATTGTTCTGTTTAACTTTGGGTAGAAGACGTTTTGGATGTTGATTTTGATTTGAGCTCAATTTTGGGTTATTTTGTAAAGTAGTGAAATATAGAGGTTGTTACACAATTGGGAAGAAAGTGGGACCAAAGACCCTTGATGCGTGGATCCAGCTCATATGCATGAAAAAATTAATTAACTCGTTATGTAAAGTTGTAAGCTCAAACCTTAACACATTTTCATTATTATTGCTATTTTCCTAATCTTTTTGATTTCCATTTCTACATAATTCAACTATAGGAATTTGCCTTAAACAAATAGCTGCATATATATTTTATTTCTTAAAGTTTTTTTTTTAGCTAGAGTCTAGAGAGGTTGAAAGAGTTTTTTACTAACCTACCCTTTGAATTTCTGTAATTGAGAAACCATGCTTCCTGTCTATTGGACCTACATGTATTAAATTAAACGGTAAAATCAAAATATAATCATCATTATTAAACAAAATAATACGTCGACGCACATTCAAGCATATGATTAAGGTACCAAAATACACCTAAGCATTTCCCATCATCACCTACATCTTTAAGCTAGTATATACAGTATATACATAAAACGTAGGGTTATTCTAGAATATTTCCTTTTTTTGTACAAATTAAACATATACGTTTTCAATGGTAATCTCTTACCGTTACGTTCAAAGTGTACCATTTTGATAATTAATAATTACAATAACGATATTAAAAGCATTATTAAAAAGTTAGTAAATAATTGTTTCAAGTCGTGCATAAGTATGAATATAACATATAAGTATCGTATATCTTTCTCATGTATAATTTTCATGTTTTAATCAAAAACAACTTGTATTCCAAGGAGATAAATTGTCTTAAATGGAAAATAGATGAATCACCAATATGTGATTTTATTTTACTATTTAAAAGTTGAAAGTTTCAATTTTTAAGAATACGCATTTTTGCAAACACATAAAATAAAAATAATTGTGGTACAAAAAAACATGTGCACGTCTATTAAAACGTTGGATACTGAATAAACAAAGAAATAATTCAAATGGTTTCATTTGAATGATTAGTAACATCATATGCTACCCACCAATCGCCCTATTCCCTCGAAAGTATTTTTATAATATGTATAGGAGAACAAATCATATTTGACTATTCGATTGCTCTACGACATACTTATAAAAACAGCCAAACCAGTAACTTATTTGTAAATGTGTAAATTTGCAACTTCAATGTAAAATATATCTAAGTTATCCAAGTGCAATGTATATATACTTTGCTTAAACAGGTGTTTAGCACCGCCGACATGTCTTATCTTTTTCATATTAACGATAGTTTTAAGTGTGACATACGACTTGTTTCATATGTGCATCGAGACCTAATTTCTAACATTAATCAATGATATCAAGTAAAATTCACTAGTTGTAGTATTTCGAATGAAAACTCAACAATACGAAGTAATCCAATATTAAATCTATAAAGGCATTTCTCTTTTTTATAAACTCAAATGTAGTATATTTTTGGAAATACATGTGTATATTTTTAATTTTTTAAAACTGATTTTAAGATGATATATTCGGTTATTATCAAAACTTAGAAGAATAAAATGAAAAAGCATTTAATGATAAGAAACAACAAATAAATCACGTTGCTGGGAAGCTTTCCCTATTGCGACACGTGTCCACAAGAAATGGATAAGATCACTCGCACCTTTTGCATCGACCTCTCTATCTATCGTTGTCTTCATCTGTTTTTCAACAATAGTTTTTTAAAACATCAATAAAAATTAAAACGAAAACTATTCAACTTGTTATCGTCAAACGCTACTTATTATCACGAGAGCTTGAATTTTAATTTAAGAAGATATCTGCTTATAAAATCATGTTTAGTGATTCATGTTTGTTTATAGTTTTTTTCAATCGCTTTCTTTACTTTTGCTTATGTAAGATGTAAAACAAAAAATCCATGATTAAAAAAAAACAAAAATTAAACTGCGCCAAAAGCTATAAAATAGAGAAGGTCCCAAGAAAGTAACCCGCTGAAACCGTATATTCTCTGTAAAAAGTTTTTACTCTTACGATGAGCTTTTTGCGTTTTTAATTTATATTTTTTCACTTTATTGTGCTTAGACAGACATGGTATACAGATATTCCTGTTTATTTATATTTCAAGTACCAACTATAGGTCCATGTCACCAAAAAAAGGTTTTGTAGAACACAAATGTTTCAGCTTTTTATGCAGAACCAAAAACTTTAATATGACTAAAATTTGCACACCTATAGGGCTTTATATTCATTTTATATATCATATTAAAAACTTGTTAAGAGTTCTGGATGGAAAATGATGCACCCAGAAAAATTGGATAATAATCAAAATACTTAGCTGAAAAATTGGATAATAATCAAAATACTTAGCTCCAAAACATACAAATGCGTTCAAAACTTAAAAGTGTAACTTGATGATGCTGATATACGGACTTTTTGTCCAAAATTTTCGTGTAAATGCTTCAGAATCGATAGCTTTTGATTAAAACAAATTTTTGATATTTTGCAGTGTAAGTATTTGTTTAAGCATCTAATGTTTTAAGGAAAATTCAGATCAGATATTAATTCACGCGCGCCAATAGAATATTGGTTCTTTTCCGTCCTAATTATTAATCCATATGGATTTTGAAAAGTAAATTTGTATAACCAAATATTAATCAACATCCGCCAATAGAATGTGGAGTTATATTACATAACTTATGTATTCATCTACTTGTTGGGTGTCCTATCATGTGCCCATAACTTTTGGTAGGAAGTTATAGTATCTTATTGCATTAACTATTAGTAGTTTAGTAGTAGTACTAAACACCAATAATAGTTACAAACTGATCAGCTTTTTCATTTCTTTCAAATTGATCATGTTTCAAGTGATGTACACTGAGTAAATTGAAAAAATACAATGAAATGAAACAAGAATACTAAAAAACCGCAAACTTCACAGTCTTCACATTGATACAATGATTTGAAGAATAAAGTTGGATTTAATGAAACATTACATACGATTTATAATGTGAAAAAGTTCTATCATTCAACTAATGATTTAGTAATTTATCGTCAAATCCTTTTTTATGTCAAGCAGACAACTTACAACTATATGTCTATTCAGTTTAAACAGAAGTGTTGAGTTTGAGTGTAAGTAAGCAAAAAACATAAGAGTGGGAGAACAGGTGGGGTCAACGGCTAAAAGATGAGCCACGTGTCAATTCGGGATTATGGCAGCCATAGAGATACGACGAACGAACTGCAGTTAAACTGCGACACGTGTGCTTTGCTATTTCTTCTTGCCAACCTCTCAACAAGATGGGACTAATATTGGCTTAATACGAAATGTATTCAAAAATTGTTATTTCACTTACAAATGTTTTTCTAAAAAGAATACAAAGTTGCGTACTTGCGTTCCTCTGTACACAGAAAATATGTTGTCACAACTAATCTCCCCAACACACATGAAAACACAAGTAAATGGCAATTAAGCTTAAAAACTATGGCTAGTATCATCTCCGCCGCAAATAATTACGAGAAAGGAAGTAACGAAAGTCCGGTAAACGAGCTGTGACCGCCCAAGCCACTCTTCACCCGCTCGTACCAGCTTTTCCATTCGTTGGTGCTCATGCAAGCCGATGGTTTAAGCTTGTGGGACACGAAACGAAACCAAAGAAAAGATGGGCTGAGATTGGTTTCGGTTGCTTGTACCTAAAATATTGATTTGAACCGTTTTGTCAATTGTTTGGGCTTGGAATGTGTCATGTGTGTGTATATGTATGTGCAAGAGATGAGTGTACCTTACCTCGAGGCTTGAGAGGAGGAGTGAAATGTCAAAAAGCAAGCGTAAGGTTTTACAATGTCTGACCTACTGGTTATTCAATAAATGGGGCACCTTAAGGATGTGCAGTTATTATATATGAAAATTTGAGAAAGAAAGTGGGAGAAACTCGGGACATTGTTGTATGTGAAAAGGATTGATTACAGACTGTACCAAGCAACAGAGAACTAACTCCGATTTTGAATGACGATAGATCACAGTTTCGGTTATTCAGTATCTTTCGTAAGCTAGAAACCGCAATGACATGTTCGAGATCCACATTCTCAACGCTCACATCATTATTTAATTGATGCAATTGACCTTTCGTTTTTTTTGTAACTTGACTTATCCAGCAATGGTTCACGGCTGGTACTAAAAAAACTAACATTTGATGAACAAATGATATTTGAAAGTTGAAACTCAAAAACAGAGCAAATCCAAACAACAACAAAAAAAAAGTGAATCTTAAAATGGCCATGATACTTCTTAATTCACAGTTCCTATTTTCCGACACGACTCCTTGTTGTGCGGATCCAATCCCACATTGTTGTGTGTTTCGTCATTTGAACTAATACTATCTTCCAAAACATGAGAACATGTTTAAGTCAGAGTATCTATCACCGAACAATGACCATTCGAAACATAACTAATCAATTCACAAATATTTTTTATTTTTGTTTTTTCTCTTCACAGAAACAAAGAAGATGAATTTTGTTACACCATGAATGAAAGAAATTGAAGCTGTACATTAATAACAATAGAAAAGCTCGCTCTGTTCTTGAAACTCGCCACTTTTAAACGTAATTTTCTTTTTTTTCTTCCTCTCGCTCTGACAACAAATTTTATGAAACTTATTGACAAAAAAATTTGAAAATCCAATCGTATCGTAACCTCATGCACTCTCTTCTTCTTTTTCTTCTTCTTCATCACCCATTTATTATTTCACTATAATTACCAACTGTAGTACGACTGAGCCGCTGCATCACCACCATATATGCTACCACCGGCGAAGCACGACGACTGAGAACTCATGAGTTCTTGACAAGGCTTAGGTGATACGTCGTCTGAGAAACCAGAGACGTTGGAGCATATCCAAGAATCTGAATGCGTTTGTAAATGAATATCCGCGAGGCATATCGAGGTGAAGGGAGATTCTCCTATTCCGATGAGATTACCGGCCAATCCTATATCCACTCCGGTGAAATTCCGTAGGACGATGTGTGTCACGACTGGGAGTGCGTCCCGGTCGAATTTATCATCCGGATGCGACCCGGTGTGTCCGTTGGCGACGATGGCTGTGTCAACGCTGGTGAGATCGACATCGGAGATTGTGATATTACGGATGTACCCTCCTCTGCCTCTGGTGGTTCTGAAGGCTACGCCTACGTGTGAGCTCTGTATGTTAAGACGCTCGACGGTCACGTCCGAGATTCCGCCTGACATCTCGCTCCCGAAGGAGATTCCGGCGCCAGTGGGAGACTTTAAGCTGAGATTCCGAATATGAACAGCAGTGGTTGGACGGCCGTAGTGTATACCGTATTGGTCCCAACCACTCTTGAGAGAGACCGCGTCATGGCCAACATTGATTGTTGAGTCCTCTATACAAACATTGTCGGAAGAATCTGGAAAAATTGGTAAAAGAAATTAGCTTTCAAACGGTGACATTGCGGAATGACGAAAAAGAATGACAAAATGGTATTACCTGGGGCAACTCCAAGAACGTAAGGAGAATCAACGGATGTTTCGATCAAAACTTTGCGGATATGAATTTGACTGCAATAAACAGGGTGAATGTTGATTGAGGGTGCGTTTAAAAAGGTTAGATTCGATATGAGGATGTGCTTGGATGAGACGAATTCGATAATATGAGGTCGACTATAGTTCAAGGACCCCGTCTCAAGCCATTCCCACCATGCCGCACCCTGACCGTCAAATGTCCCATTTTCGCCTGCCAAAAATAAAGAAGTTTTGAGTCTTAATGTCGCCAAGCCAGAAACTTAGGTGATGATGCCATCATCATGATGGTATGATTTTGTGTTTACCAGTGATTACTACGTCTATTAGATTGTCTCCATTGATCAAACTTCTGTACCGCTTGCCAGGAAGTTCAATTCCGCGACCATAGGACGGTAGAGGACTGACAATGTCCCAATGCGACGGATCCTAGCATATTAGACAACAAAAGAGAGACCGTGTTAACGTTTAGACTTGGTCTAAACACAAAACTTTACCCAAACACTTTTTAAAAAGCTATAGATACCGAAAGAACCCTAATAGCTCAACAAGAATAAAAGCAAGAAACGCATCTTGCTTCCCAAAAAAATGGTACACATGATCATACCGGTACCCCAAATCGCAAACACGACAGAAATTAGCTTTATAAGATTAGCCAGAGAGATCATACCGGTGATGCAAGAATTGTTGCTCCTTTCTCCAAGAAGAGAGTGAGATGGCTAGTGAGATTGAAGCTTCCTGTGAGCCATTTCCCTGGTGGAACATAAAGCTGAGCACCACCTTTATCCGCAAAAGACTTGAGATAGAAAATAGCGTTCTGAAAAGCAAGAGTGTTGAGCGTCTTCCCATCTCCAACCGCTCCAAACTCGAGGATCGAAACACTATGAGGTCTAGGGTCTAACTTGAAATTCTCCTTGCAGATGGCATTATTGCCTTCCCCTCTGATCAGTAGAATAGTGAATGCCAGTAGCCAGACCAATGCCACCTGCATTATACAACTTGAGAAAATCAGTTTAAATTCGACAAAATCGGATCGAAACTGATGATGTTAGTAAATCTTGAATGTGATGACGACTAACGAGAATCATATGCGAAGGGAAACAAAAAACGTTGGAATAAAGGAAAGTCCGGGAAAGCTAAAACAATTCCCGGAAAATCGAATTTGATAAGAATCATATCTGATGAAAAACATGAACTCTCCTCCATTCTCGATGTCAAGAAAGGAAATTTCGATAACCGAAAACTTTCGGTTTCCATGGAAGAAATTCAGGGAAATCTGATAACTTGTTGGAAAATCTCAGTAAGAGCCATAGAGAGTTCATAAACTTGGAACTTTGAAAACAAACAAAGCATAGATCATATAAAAACATCAATCAGAACTCACTGACATGAAGATCCAAGAAAATATAACAGAACCCATAAGTACAAAAACAGAGGAATCCAAGACAGATTTCTAGATGTGGCGGCTGAGATGTCCCAATTACAAACAAAGAGCACAGAACTGAGGTAAGAACCCCAGAAGCTATCTCGATTTCTTTTGATTTTCTTTACCAAAAAATAAGTGAGAGAATCACAGAATTGAAGTATATAAACCATAATAGATTCGTGTACAAAGTTTCATACTTTGGAATTGGAGACAAAGATTAAGCCAAACTCATTAGACAAGAATCAATAAGAGAATTAAAAAAAGGGAGAAACGTACTACTTACTGGCATCTTCATGGACTCAGAAACTTAAGTTCCTGAGGAAGAAGGAGAAAAGTCGCAACAAAAGAAAAAAAAAAAGACCAGAGGAAGAGGAGATGAAGAGAGAGTCCGAAGCAAGTACACACATGTTATTATTTGTTTAACACTACTGTTTGTTGGAATTTGCTATTAATATTAATTTTAATCATTTTGTTTGATCCCAGTAAGTATTAATTTTACGTAAAAGGACCAGACAATATCATTCACTGAGATTTTGAAGCGTTATTTTAGCCTTCTTCCCCTAAATAAAATTAATTAATGAGACATCACTCCGAGTATAATGTAAAATTCAATTTAATTCATAGTTTTGGGAATAACTTTGTTTTGTTATTATGTTTTTCTCTGTTTTGTTTCATATCTGTTAATTGACGGTATGATTGTCCTTTTAATAATGATGATTATAAACTGACTAATTACTCAGTTTAAATTCATCATTTTTTTCTAATCTTTTGTCTTGAACGACTAGAACAAACATATCTTGCCGACACGACTATTCTACATTATGAATTATTAGTAAAACTAATTCAGAGATTAAGAATTGTTGGTAAAATTGTATATGTACCACCACCACTGATTTGGTCAAAGTAACCTAGTTATTTCACTGGCTATACAAATTATGAAATGCTAAGAAATTAAATCAATTGGGGAAAGATAATTATATTGATAGTAGATAGATAGAGATAGGAGAGAAGAAGAATATGATGTGTTAAAAAACGACACATGGAGCTCATGTGGTCTGTTTTGATTTGAGCTAGCAGCCGTTTGGATTTACTGTTTAAATACAAAAGAAAAGTTCACTAATACTATATAATAATTTTGCCAAAGTGATTAATATAATCTGAATTTTTCAGACCGGCCAATGACTGATGGATTAAGAAGTCGTATTAGTAATTAGTTTACTACTAAAATACAAAACCTTGTTTATCAGCTGTTTTTTAAAAGAGATTACTCATGTAAAAGTAAGATATACACGTAAGTAAGTACTATTCAAATATTTCTTAACATTACACTAAAACATATTAATTTCGTAAATGTGAGATGTAGTATAACCAGGTTTGTTTTATAGTTGTATGTTAAAAATAAGAGCAAGTAGGTTTATATATGATTAAGTGTTAAATGCGAATAGGACACGTAAGCAGAAGCGCATGTGCTAAGACAGTGAAGATAACGGGACCCACAAGCAATCATCGGAGAGGAAATGCCAGCCTGGCTCTCTTTGACAGTCCATTTTTCCATTAAACCACACATTTTAATTTGGTTTCAACATCCATATTTGTATACAAATTTATACGATATCAAACACACTTATTTCTATTCCAAATACTATAAATCAAAGTCTAATTAATGGGGAAAGACCAAATTAATGTTGAGATTTCAATTAATTGCATATGATTGTGGAAATTACTAATATTTGATTTGATTTTCCATTGACTATATAGTATTGTGTTGTGACTTGTGAGATACGTCACGCAAATGATTATAATTAGTAGTGTATCTCGAAGGGAAATATTTATGTTGTACAACATTTTTGGATTGTCATGAAGTTGTTGCTTGTTCAAATTTATTCTTTGATTGATTTAGAAACAAAAACTGTGAGTTTTCTTAGATGATGATTAAATCTTCATGTGAGAAAAAAATAATGGTTTTGACGTTAACGTTATCGAGTGATTTATATATTCATTCAACCACACATAGATCTAAAAGTTTAAGCTCAATAGCGATCTTAATAGTAGTATAAGTTATCAAGATGCGATTAGTTACTTGGTCTCTTTCAGATATGTTGGAATCTTATAAACGAGGCGGGTCATACCTATGTCAATATATCTTAGAAACAAAATGATTATCCTTTAAATTTTAAGTCGTGTGGCCACTATAATTATGCCAGGTTATCTCCCGTGATCAATAAGCTCCAAATACTATTTAACTACTCATTAAGATCTTGTCAAAATTATCATTTTTTTTCCTTTTGTTTTCTTGGACGTAACCCTAGCTGTCTAAATTTGAAAGCGATAATATAATGTACAGTGTACTCGTATATAATAATTCCCACGAGCCACGACTTGTCCCCGACTAAACTTTCAGATATAGATTTATCATCATTAATCAAACTAAACAAGCTTAAGCTAAAGTTCAAAATTTGTTAAAGGTAAACATGTTTGAGATCGTTAATGAAAAAGTCGGACGTTGTTTTTGTATTATAAGAATTTGTGACTGAATTTCAAACTAATCTACGGAATATGTACATATTTTTAATATTTCAAGCTTTTAGAACAAAGAACCATACTTGAAATTGCAATGAAAAGATTCTAGTATTGGTTTATGATCAATCTATAAAAATTTGACAAACCAATACTAAACTTAATAATAATTGGTCAACCAGTCTAGTACTGCGAACCAACATAGATTAAGATTAGCTCAACTGGTTTAACTATGACTACGATATTCTAACGTACACAATAAACAGACTTTGCCAAAAAGGTAAAGAAAAAAAACTCCTTTAGAGCGAACACGTAAATAAATTGGATACGTTGAAAGTTGGATTCTGTTAGGAATTTCTTCGGATCCCCTTTGTGGTTGCGGTGGAGACCCCACTCCTTAGTTTTCACCCGTGTTCAAAAAATCGCTAGGCGCTAGTCGGGCGGTGAGGGTGCGCCTAGCGCCTAGCAAGAAAATCGGGGATTACACGGGGATTAATCGGGGATTAGTTTTAGGGCTATTTAATATTTTAAAAACATATTAATCCATTATAATTAAGTAATCTATATAATATTGTTTTTAAAATTGTATTAAACACATGAAAACAAGATTTTAATTTCAAATTTATGATTTTTATACAAATTACGAACATAAGTAGGACGTTTTAAATTTTAGATGAAAAAAAAAAAGTAAAAACAAAAAAAAAAAAAAAAAAAAATGGGCTAGGCGCCGTCTAGGCGGGCTAGGCGGCCGCCTAGGCGGTCCAGGCGGACAAAAATCGGATCTCCGATTTTTCTCACCGATTTGGACAAAATCGCCGCGGTGCTCCTCCGATCAGCGCCTAGGCGGCCGCCTAGGCGGCTAGGCGGCCGATTTTTAGAACAAGGGTTTTCACACTTTGACATTTACGTGATTCTTTCTCAATTTTTTTTTTTTTTTTTTGGTTTTATTCGTCGTGATCTTCGCAATACATTTACTATAATATAATACTTGGTGCATATGAAATGTTACTTACTCTTACTTGAAAACACATTTGTTTCAAGCCATGCGAGAAGAATCTATGATTTTTTTCACGAGCAAAAAATTACGGTCAGCCCCATGATAATTACGGTGTTTGTTTCTAGAGAATGTATTAAAATGAGAGTCAAATGAGTTCAACTACTTTTTTATATTAGCACTAATCACTAATCAATGCTCCCAAGTGCATGCTAATGCTATTCAGTCGTCACTTTAGCAATAATGACAGCTAAAAGCTTGCAATAATATCGAATTTTAAATAAATTGAAGAAAAGATTTTAAAATTAAATAATATTGGGGTTTTGCGGATGGGCTTCACAAGAAAAGGCCCAAATTAGTATCAGCCATCAACGTCACTTTGACGTGTTTATCTTCAAAACCCCTAAATCCTAATCGGTAGCAAATCACTCGGTTTGAATTAATTCAAGTTAACCAGATCAAAACCGAAACCGGTTTAATTATACTACATCGTTTCGTTCTGATTTAGGGTTTATGTGAGTTTTAACTTTGCTTGAGATATTCCACTCTCTGCCAACAACGACGACTCGAGTACTCGACTCGGGGCCAAAGATTCTCAAAGCTTTCGAGCTCAAATCAACAGCTAACATGGTTGCAGGCGGCAAAGAATCTTCCTTAATGATGAAGAAGAACAAGAGAAGCCATAAGAGAAAACGAGAGGAGGATTTCGAACGCATAGATTCACTTCCGTGGAGCTCTTCTATACCTATCGGAGAAGACGACGAAGGCGAAACCTTCTCCACTCTGTTTTCAGGTTCAGGCCAGCTCGACGGAGGTAAAAGTTTTGGTTTTTATGTTTTTTGAAGTGTTTGTTTCCTCTGTGAACTATTATTGTGAGTGTCTGATTTTTGTTGAAATTTATGCAATTCATGTTTTTTTGATAACTCAGATAATCATTTATCTCAAATTTGTGTCTGGAGTCAATTGCTTTGCCTTGTTAGTTCACTGAAAGTCTGAAACTTTATACTTTGTTTGGGCAGGTTTTCTTTCACTTGAGGAGATTGATGAAGCTGATTACCATCTAGCTCTTCCTACGATTGAAAATGGAATAACAGAGACAAAACAAGCTCAAGAAGACGATGATGATACCAGCGAGACTGTTGATGAGATAATTGAAGGTGGAGAAGAAGAAGATGGAGAAGAAGGTGGAGAAGAAATGGAAGACGAGGATGACTCGGAGAGTCGTAAGATAAGAGAGAAGAAAACTAAGAAGAATAAGGAGAAGAAAAAGGAGAAGAAGAAGAAGAAACAAAAGAAGATTAAGGAGGCTGAAAAGGATCAGGAGACTTCTGCTGGTTAGTATTTCATATACTCTTTTGTTTTTAGTTTTTGGCGCAAAAGAGGTAATCATTACTCGTAGAGTCTCAGAAAGTAAAACCCTGTGGTGGATAGATTTGACAAGGATAACATCCCGGTTATACCGAATTAGCTACATTTTAGACCAGCTGCAAGAAAAAAGTTTCTGCTTATCTTCTTAAGTTTAGCAATTGAATTTCTTCTGTTGGACTATTTTCACATGAGGTGGAAAATATTGAATGTTTCGAACTACACATTCTTTCGTTCTATATTATATATCTCTTGTTACCGTAAGTTCCCTTTTATGCACTAGTTTATGTCTATCTTGTCTCTAAGTCAAATTTTAATGATAGATCATTATTTATAGCAGTTAGCTGTGATGAAGATTACAAAGTAGAGGAGCAAGTTGAGGGAGAAGAGATTCCTCCGGAATTTAGTGCATGGAGTTTGATGAGACTCCATCCACTACTCATGAAGTCAATATACCACCTTGGATTCAAGCAGCCGACAGAAATTCAGAAGGCTTGTTTTTCCATTGCAGCATATCAGGGAAAGGTAGGATGACCAGCTTTTATTTCTATCAAGAAAATATAATTTATTGATGTAAGGTTCATATTTGGACCACAGGATGTTATTGGTGCTGCGGAGACAGGATCTGGAAAGACTCTTGCTTTTGGGTTGCCCATACTGCAACGCCTCTTAGACGAACGGGAAAAGGTTGGTAAATTGTATGCATTGAAGGGAGAAAAAGCACAGAAATATGCTGCAGATGGCTATTTACGAGCTCTAATCATCACTCCAACTAGGGAACTTGCTCTTCAGGTATCCTTTACTATCATCACATTGCTTCTTTTTTTCCTTCTAACATGCTTCTTTGTTCATTTGTGGGTGGGGTCATGAGGAAGTTCTGAAATACAATTCCAACTTTTCCCTTATTCCAGGTGACGGATCATCTTAAGAATGCTGCCGAGAATCTCAATGTCAAGGTCGTTCCTATTGTTGGTGGGATGTCATCAGCGAAGCAGGAAAGACTTTTGAAAGGGAAACCTGAAATAGTTGTTGGAACTCCAGGAAGGTTGTGGGAACTTATGTCCGCTGGAGAAAAGCATCTTGTAGAGGTATGCAATGCATAATCGCAGTATCTTACTTTTTCATTAACAGATTCTGGTGTAGCTATTGAATATCTTACTTTTTCATTAACAGATTCTGGTGTAGTTATTGAATTTGTGCATAGATGCAGTACAGTTTGTAATCTAAATATCATTTTCTTGAAAATGAGTATATCTGCTAATCAAGGCATGTGTAAAATGTTATTACTGTTATTTAGCTATTCTTAGACACTGTCTAAATTGTTTTGTCTTTTTCTGATCATCTTTGGCAGCTGCATTCCTTATCGTTCTTTGTGTTGGACGAGGCTGATCGCATGGTTGAAAGTGGTCATTTCAGGGAGCTGCAGTCTATAATTGACTTGCTTCCAGTGACAGATAGACCAAATGAAGGGAAAATGCAAACTGTGCAGAGTAGTGACACAGTTTCCAATGCCCCGAAGAAGAAAAGACAAACTTTTGTTTTCTCAGCTACCATAGCGCTGTCTTCGGATTTCCGTAAAAAGCTAAAGCGTGGCTCCTCGAAGTCAAAGCAATCATCATCTGGTGAAGTGAATTCTATTGAGGTTTTATCTGAACGAGCTGGAATGAGAGATAGTGTTGCCATCATTGATCTGACAACTGCATCTATTTTGGCACCAAAGATTGAAGAATCTTTTATTAAGTAAGTACTATTTTACCTATATCCCTCCGAAGCTATTAATTTGAATGGGTGATAAGTAAGCTTTTATTGCTTGGAGGACACCATGCTTCTACTCATTATTTGCTTGCAAAACATCCAGAAATCTTTAATGGTACTTATTCTTTTTGCCTATCTCGGTATTCTTAGTATTAATATCTTATATCAAACTACAGGTGCGAAGAGGAGGAAAAAGATGCTTACTTGTATTATATTTTGAGCGTCCATGGACAAGGGCGTACAATTGTTTTCTGTACATCAGTGGCAGCTTTGCGGCATATCTGTGCGCTTTTAAAGATTCTTGGACTCGATGTTTGCAAACTCTTCTCAGATATGAAGCAGCGAGCTCGGTTGAAGGTTCAACTTTCTATTGCTTAGTTATTTGTCCTCATGACTCCTTTGCTACAATAATCACTCATTTTGTTATATTCTGAGTTCAAGGGTGTTTTGGAAACACACGTATTTGCTTAATATTGTTACTTAGCATTTTTTCCTTTCCACTCTCTTTATATGTCACAGGCAATCGACCGTTTCCGAGCAAGCGAAAATGGCATACTCATAGCAACAGATGTTGCAGCAAGGGGTATTGATATTAAGAATGTCCGAACTATTATTCACTACCAACTTCCACATTCGGCAGAAGTAAGTTTTCTAGTTTTTGATTGATAACATATCTACAAGCTCTGAGCCTTTTTATCCATATAGGTATATGTACATAGAAGTGGGAGGACTGCTAGAGCATTCGCAGATGGATGCAGTATAGCTTTGATTGCTCCAAGTGATTCGTCCAAGTTTTACACGTTATGCAAGTCATTCTCTAAGGTATATATATATATTCACACTCCCAAACCAAAGTTTAGATATCCTCAAAACTTAGTTTTTTTATAAAGAAAAATACTGAGTTGGGTAATGCTAAAGTACGTATTTTTTATTCTGTTTGGCCACTTTCATGCTGAATGTTCCTTTGTTTGTGCTTACAGGAAACCGTAAAGATATTCCCTTTGGATAGCTCTTATATGCCAGCTGTGAGGAAGCGATTGTCTCTAGCACGTCAAATAGACCAGATTGAGCGGAAAGGCTCGCGGGTATATCTTCCATCAGTATACTGAATGTACTTGTATCCTATGGTTTGGTTGTGGGTGTGAAAATTTGAAAATAAGTGCTGGAAGTCCATGTTTCTATTACCCTGTTTCGGAAATAGTTAACCCTGGCCTATGTGAAATTTTTGTGTCGGTGGTCTTTGTAGTAGCTTCACACTCACTGCCTTCAGCTGGATGCTTTTTAGCTCTTATTGCGTACTTAATTTTCAACTTTGTCATTAATTTGTCGTTGGTGTCTGCTTTCCAGGAGAAAGCAGACAGGACCTGGCTTGAAAAGCATGCTGAATCGATGGAACTCGAATTGGACGATGACGAAAGTGAAGAGGAAAGAGTGGACAATGTCAGGCAGAGAAAAGCGACCTCAGCACAACTTAATAAGCTGCAGGAGGTTTGTCACTACTACTCAGAAGAAAAGTTCTCCTGAATCATGAAATATTAGTTTCCCGTAGAAAGTTGTATTACTAATTAATTCTTGATGTCTGGTTCAATCCTCAGGAACTTAGCTCGCTCTTATCACGTCCGATGCAGCCCAAGAAATTTTCAGGCCGTTACTTTGCTGGGGTAAGTTTGGTCCTATTATCTTTTTTTTGTCACAGCCTCCATATCCGCATTTAATATAAAAATAAACTTTAGCCATTCTAGCTCTCTTTTGCTGCTGCACAGGAGATTTATCAATATTTTTTTTTGTACCAGGCTGGTGTGTCGACTCTTATGCAGAATCAGTTTACAGAGTTAACGAAACAAAAACAACTACAAATGCAAACTGGTGGAGATAAAAAGAGAAGAAAACTTGTTGTCATTAACCAGAACTGCATCGAACCTCTTCAAGCCCTTCGTGCTGGTGGTAACGAGGTACTTAGTTTTCCACTCTCTCTACCAATACCCCCATATCATATCAAATCACCTTTTCAGCTTGACCTTGATGACCCATGATGATAATTGGAAACATTGGTTGGGTGTCTTTTGGATAATCTTTCTTTAAGGATCGATCTTCCTTTCTTGCTGAGACCGTGTGAACTTTTTTCCCAGTTTGCATGACCATATCTGATGAATGATGTTGTTGCTTTGTTCAGATGATGAAAATGAAAGGTCAGAGTGCAGACAAGAGGCGCGATATAGCGAGCTTGAGGAAGAAGAGAAAGGAAGAGAAGATAGGTATATATTTATAACTTATGTCTGATCTAATTAATAACTTGCGTTCACTGATGTGTGTGTGGTTGATTGTTGCCAGTAATGGGATTTGATAAGTTGAAACTTAAACAGATGTTTATGATCTTGCTGTGTTATGCATTTTTCAGGTCGGCGTGATCAGCGAAGGGACCAGAAGAAAAAGAGAAAACTAATGGCTTCTTCTTAAGTATGCCTTTTTCCAAATTTTCTTTATCTGATCAGATTTTTGACCTTATTATATGAGTTATAAACCATAAATGTAAACTTGTGCATGTCACTCATTTTTATCTTTAAAGAACGGTTCAATCTCCCAACTCTTTGATCAACTTGCTCATGTCACTATAATAATCTAGTTTAGGAGATATTTAGTTAAAAATTCATTTCTAGTACATTGGTGACAGAAGAAATAGATAAATTCATTTCTGGAAGTGCTTTGCTAACTTGGGAGGGCAATCAGGCTAACAATCGTAAGTCTCAGATTTTTGACAAATCCATACATTAAAAGCCACTACATTCAAGAGTATTATAGCCTTTCTAAAACTGTTATAACCCCGAAATATAAAATAAAAATAACAACTGTTATTACGCCTACTGATTTAATTTAAAAATCTCATTTACAAAAACAGAGCACAAGCTATCACAACTTTACAATCCAAAATAAAAAAAGATATGTCAACTAACTTAACTGACATCAACTATTTTTACCTTTGAATCTGATCTGAACTTGAGTTGTTAGCCGCTGATGAACTAGACGGCCGTCCATTTTCAGTCCCTGCTTTATCTGAACCAGCCATGACGCCAACACCCCATCGTCTAGAAAGTTCTGATGGCTCAAGCACTTTAACCGAACCATCAGAGAGTCCAACCGCTAATTGATTCGGTTCTTGTGGATGAGTTGTGATCACTTGTGGAATGATCGGTGCACTATTACAGAAGAAAAAGAAAGTACAATCAGTCCAAGCAATCACAATGGTCAGATTATGTGAGCTTTTATTTAAAGTTTGTAAAACATGGTACCTGTTCGGTGTTGGTTGAGGCATGTAAGCCGATGGAGCAATGCGACATCTGAGTCTCAAGGATTCAGCATCAAAGACTGCGATGTTTCCATCAGCGAATGACGCGTAAACCAGTTGGCTGTTGCATGAGTAAGATGCAGAGGTTATGGGCGACGAGAGAGCGTCTTGTGGCACCCACTGCACAAGGAAAGAGAATTTAAGGTTTCTTGTAATCATTCAAGATCTCACAGTAAATACTAAGATTTTTAGTTTACCTTATGAATGCATTCCATCTTCGAAGCATCGTAAATGGCGAGCTGTGTCTCATGTGAAACCAATAACTGGATTTGGTCGTTATGGAATTGGACTCGCGTGTCACCTACTGGTGCTTTTCCAGGTGGTAGCTGTATCGCTGAAGATTTCTTCTTCTCCCACGAGTCAGCGGTCCAGAAGAAGAGCTGTAATAAAGAGGTAACGAGTCTGTGAAGTTACAAGCCAACAGAGACGCGAAAAGCTCCAATAGCATCTAAGAAACATGAAATTTGTCTTACCTGAGCATCGGCACCAGAAGAGACAAGAATATTGAGTGCGGTAGAAAATGCTAGACCAGTTATGTGCTTCTGGTGACCTTTCAACTTTGTTTTCACCTATAGATGAAAAGAGATTACATTACAGTTTCATTTAAGAGATGAATCAGTAGTTACAGCAGTAAAAACCAGTAGACCACAGAATCAAACAAATGTATTATACCTCATCTACCCTGACGTTGTAAATATGTATACTCGAGTCCTCCATCCCGATCGCAATAATGTTATTATCTTGAGGATGAAACGCCAAGAAAGTTGAAGCTGGTGGCGGTGGCATGAAAGTTGTCATTACCTGCCAAGAAAGGTAAAAATGCATTTAGCTTCGCATATTACTCAAATAGTTACATTAGCTCCTGAGGTATTCTTTATGGATATGCTCCCGAGAACAAAAAAAGTTGGATTAAGCTGCTTACTTTGAAAGTCATCATATTGAATAACGAAACTTTTCCACCACAAGCTGACATTACATATGAGTCATTCTTAGAAAGCGCTATACACGGAACAGCCCCTTCAGGATTCTCAGGAACATCATTTGCCATTAGGAGACCACTGTTTGGCTGCCAATGCTGTGGAGTTACACTAGCAGTTGCCTTCAAAATAAAAAGACACAGTCTCAGACACTTATGCAAGAGAGCTTCAAATAAGTGACTCAACAACTCACATATATCGACAAACCACATGAAGTGTAAAATTTGAAAGGTACAACGTATCACCTTCCCAGTTGGATTTTGCTCATTGCGGCTCCACTTCCATAGTCTTTGGACACCATTTGATCCAAGGGCCAAAACACCGACACCAGAATTTGTATAGAGAAGCCGAGCAACCTTAAGAATTGACATAGCAGCATTTCAAGATAGTTATTAATGAACAGAACAATCGATGGATAATTTCAAGCTGAGACGGCAACAAACCTTGCTAACAGAATCCTTGCTATCTGGCATGGTTACTTGTCGGCACTGAGTCGGATCAACAATTTCTGTGAGCTCTAAAGGTTTAGACTTATCAACAGGGTCCAAGTTTCTTGGCTTATCCATAGTTCTTGACATTGCTTCAATTCCATTCTGCACACGTCATAACACCAAAGTTAGGTGACAAGAAAAAAAATGTATTTTCAAACAAAACTAATTTCCAATTATATTTTCACTAAGGACATGATTCTAATATTATTACTATCAATCAGTTTAGTCAAGATATCAGTCCACATATTAAGGATACTTGATTGAAATAGGAGAATATATAGGGAAAAAGATCTACTAAATTTTTTAATCATACAGGAATTGGGGTTGGCCTTGCAGGAGAGTCTGTGTCCATGTGTTCAATTTTACCAATAGCTGGGCTGATGCTTGTAGCCATTGCGGAGGGGGATACCTGAATCACCGGCATTGACACTCGAGTTAAAACTGGACAAAAGGCATGACTAATAAAAAGAATTCACGTATAACATAAAAAGGAATAATTCCAACACCTTCATATCAATGGATGCTTTAGATGCTTCAAAAGACCGCACTTCAAATGCCCTTAATGTTCTGAGACCATCAGTATTTGCAAGGATCTTGAATCCGTTATCTGCTGTAGTAACTGCAAGAAGATTCCCATCCTTGTTGAATCTCAGTCGGGGTAGATTCTGATATAAAACGATACATAGCATCAGTAAATCAACAGGCTCGAGAATACAAAAGATTATATATGCAAGTAGGCAAGAGTATTTTGGGCAAGAATTTCATACCGGAAGTCCTCCTTCAGCCTCAACAGTTGTCAAAAGATTTGTATTGTCCATATCCCAGAATTTTACTTGATTGTCTTCACCAACAGCCAAGAAACGGTTACGGGTTGTGTCAAACTGAACAACTCCTTGTGATTTCTTCCTAAAGCCTAGATATGTCCTCTTTAGGGCACCTTCGCTCTCATTCCACTCGACGAGGAAAGAGTCTCCCTCTTTACTCGTACCACAAGAAAATAATCTGAAATCACAGTTACTTGGTATGAGCTTATATAAATTGTTCAGAAGATTTTCAATTTATGGCAGAGACATCATATTGTTTTACAACTCTAGAGCTTTTCAAATAAGAATGATGTACCTGCTTCCATCAGCACTGTAAAGCATTGTTGTGCACCATTGTCCTGGTGCGTCGTAATCAACCCGAGAACCGACATTATCATAGAGCCACGCCTTGATCTTTCCATCAAGAGCAGTTGAGAATATAAACTGCATAGTAAAAGAGAGAAGAATAAATTACAAGAAAACGAAAGGGAAAGTTTCAGGTCTTTTTAAACAAGAGATGCCTGCACCTGAATATTTTCCTTCTGGTGAGGGCAAATGGAATAAACCGGTGCCTCGTGGCCTTCAAAAGTGAAAAGCTTCTTTCCACTCAAATCCCACACCTAGGAAATCTCATAATTAGACACGGAATAATAAACTGAGTTCAGAATCATAATCCTTACGTACCTTAATCAATTTGTCATCACCACAAGTCACAACACACATTTGCTTATTTGGGTGGGCGAACGCCAAGTCATTCACACAGCCTACATGAGCATCAATCTAATACACAGAAACAGATGATTGATTCAGTTTGGTGCAGATGCAACAAAGGCAAGAAACTAAGTACAAAAAGACGATTAAACATACCTCGAGGTGTTGACGTAGGTCTGAGCCTTGGTAAGCATATACATGGATCAGATGTTTAGTAAAAGAAACCCCTGTACATGGAAAATGATACGAAGTTCAAACCTCGTGTCTACTTGAAAGTACAACTATATCTTTAAAACGTTTTTTGGGAGAACAATCTCCATCTACCATACCAAGCAAATTTCCATCTGGGCTCCATGCTACACGAGTGACAGATATTGATGGATCTTTGACTATAGAACCCTGGCAAGAAAATGCCATCACAACAAAAGTCATAGTTTATTAGCTTAGTGTTAAAGTATGTTTCTAGATAATTTATCCTTTTTAAGAAAATAAAAAACGATGGAAGAAGAGAGAACCTGGAAGATCACAGAACAAGCCGCCATATTCCATATCTTGAAAGGTTCTGTGACAACCTTCTCTCTGGATCCAACTTCCCACAAGGTGACTTCGCCGCTTGAACAACCAACTACGAGTAATAGACATGTTATAACAAGAGCCAAATAAAAATCTCAACTCCATTAAGCTTTTCATGGTAGCAATGGACTAACCAGCTAGCAAAGTGTGATGAGAAGGGTGAAAATCCATGCTTATCACCACCGACCCTTGGCGAATTGTACTCACGACATTTCTAGGGAGGTCATCAAGTGACGCAGCGGGATGAGAATGAGCAGGATATGTGACCTGTGATTTGAAAAGTAGAGCCATGCACTCAACATCAAAACACACATTCCAAAAGCAACAAAAGTTTTCTTTGCTTAGTAAGCATTTCAAAAACAAGGGAAACCTGAAGACAATTACCTCGTTGGATGTTTGTGCAGACCGTAAGCGTTTCATGAGTTGCTCGTGATCAGCATTTTGATAATCCATCAACCCTAGAGAGTTAGATGGTGCCCGAGGGTGTTTCAACACATTAACTGTTGTGACGAAATACAATAACAGGATTTCAGGTCCTAACTCTAATATCACAAATAAATAAATAACCAAAGAAAGATACCGTCATATCCAAACACTTGTAAGTTGTAACATAAATTATACCTTGACTTGGCTGCATAGGAAATGGGGAAGCAGCGACGACACCGGATGGAACCGATGAAGAAGGATTTGGGTTTGCCATCCATCCAGCTAAAGCATTGGCATTAGGAGCCGGGG